GCTAACATATGTGAAGGGCCGTTGCACTGGCTGGCCTGCGGGCGGGTGTGCGCCGCGGCCCCTGCGTGGGCCGCCGCGCGAAGCTCCACCAGGTAGTCTCGCACTTCCTGGTTGCCGACGTCGTAGGTGTCGCGTCTGGGGGAGGCACGGCTCGCGTGGACGTCGGGGCGAACCTCCACCAAGCGCTGCAGGATGCCCAGCAGCACGAAAGTGGCGCCCCGGCATCACGCGCATCATCAAGTTTTCGCCATTTTTATTTGTGGTTCATTTGACATGTGACGTGTGACATGACATGGTGACATGTGACGTGACAGGACTCATGACTTATGACTCATGTCTTGACTTGACTTGGCTTGACTGTGACTCTGACTCTGACGTGACTGTGGTTGAATTTCGATTCTCTTTACTTTGTTGAGTTTTAAAAACTGAAAACTGACTTCAGATTTCGTAGCTCTTGTCACGCTTGCCACGTCGAGTCGAGTCATGTCACAGTCACAGAGTCACATGCATGCATGTCGTCAGTCATCACAGTCTGTCCGTGATGTCTTTGTCGTCGTCGCATCACGTCATGCATGCGGTCATGCTGTGGCCTATGGCTAGTTACGTGAGTTACGTGCATCATCAATCTTAATATTAATAGATTCATTTCAACTTTTCATGAACATTTTAGTGTTTACAAAAATCGGCCAATGGTGCCGGCGTTATCTGCGCCATTTTCTTCGGCGAAAAGAAAAAGGGGTTTCGGCGGTTTCGGGTTCGGTTTAGGCGGTTTAGGCAAGCAGCCCTACCTAAGCCGCACAGTCTAAGTCTAAGTCTAAGTCACAGTCTAAGTCTAACTCTATCAGCCTGACAGTCTATTTTTATTTTTTATTTATCTATCGACCCTAGAAACCCTAAATGAAATTTGAAATTAATGAAGCGCTTGACTCCTTGACTTGCAACTAAAATGACTCTGCAGAATCATATATATTATAATCAATATCAGGAGCCGGGATCGTCGGCTGTCAGCCAGGATCCCACAGCGGCAGCGGATGAGGCTGCTAATGATGCCTACGATTCGTTCGATGACATGGTGCGAGACTCAGTGCAAGAAGCACAGAACAGGCGCTGGATGGACAGCGGGTTCTTTCACTCGGAGGAAGAAGAGTTGTCGCCGTCGTATGAGCATGAAGAGAAGTTGAGAGACTGCCAGCGCCAGCCGGCTGCCAGCCCGACTCCGACAACACCAAGGCAGCCGGAGGCCCAACTGGACGGAACAAAGAAAACAGTAACAGAGCAGCCGCAGTTGGAGTCAGAGGTACAGCCAGTCAGGAGCCAGGCACGCGTGGTTTCGGACTACCTTGCTGATGCCTAATGGAGTTCCCATTTGTCACCTATCAAACCCCGGCCAACTGACAATGATGGCAGGAGCCCTCTGCCAACCGTGGCCCCAACAGTGATCGTAGCGCAGCCGGAGCATAGCCATGGCTGCAGCAATCTGCAGCAGCAGCCGGCTGTCAGCCCGACAACACCAGCGCAGTACCAACAAGAGGACAACAGCACGACCAGCGAGCTGCAGCAGCAACAGCAGCAAGCTGTACAAGTTCCTGTACAAGCGCAGGTAGTAAAAGAAAGCAAGGAGCAAGAACAGCGGCCACCGGAGCTGCAGCCCCAGTCAGAGGCAGGGTTACTGGGAAAAGAGGAAACAAAGACAAAGACCAAGCAGTCGGAAGCCAGCAGTCTGCAGCAGCAGCCGGCTGTCAGCCCGACAACACCGGGGCAGTTCGAGCAAGAGGAGTGCAGACAGCAGCAACCGCCGGAGTCACAACTTGACGTAACCGTAGACGAAGCTGCAGGCAAAGAGCAACCTCCGCAGCCGCAAACAGAGCTTCAGTCAGAGCTGTTCAGCAAACAGGAGGAAAGAAGGCAGCACGCGTTTGGTGGAGGAAAACGCATTGCCGGAGGAGATGTTGCGAGACTTGGACATCCTAGCCGATGCACTTGATGAGAAAAGAGCGGACCATGCTACTGCGCACAACCGGCTGTCAGCCTGGAAGCAGGACGACGAGTACTTTGGTGTTTTGCGGCCAGTGGTCAGAAATGAGCACTGGTCTGCGCTCGTCCAGCAGTTTTCCGCCCCAGCCTCCGCCGCCTCGACCTCTGCCTGCCTCCGTTCTGCTTTCAACAAGGTGAACGGGAACACGTCGCCAGTGTCAGAACAGGACAGAGGCGAACTTGTGGGCGCACTCCAGGGCTCGGCTGAGCAACCCGCCAATTATGACTATCTGAATAGCGTGTTGTGCGGTCTGCAGCTGTTGGCAGAAGAAGCAAACAAGCAGCAAAAGGACTTTGTTCTGCGCGTTTGCAAAGACATTTGCGGCCGTGGTGTGTCTGCTTCAGATTTTCATGGGGATGAGGATTTGATGGAGCAGATGTTCGCGAAAGGTCACTGGGAAGTTTCGGTTGTGAAGAACGCAATTTCAGAGAGTGCAGCAGAGCAGCAACACAAGAACACGGTGCTGCAAACCTGCGAGAAGCTTGCGGCAGCGAGCAGCAAAGTTTGCCTGTGGCATGGGTTGCTGAACGCCATACTGACTTTGGCCAAGACGGCGCAGGAGCATGCGGACAATGGGTTGGATGCAAACGTCCAGAACAATTTGGTGCAGTGCTGGAGTGAGGTGAAACACCGACTGCAGACAGACCCGGAGATAGCCGCAGCAGCTCAGCCCGTCAAGGAGGCCTTGGAGAACTTGCTGAACGCCACGAAGACTGAGCAAGTGGGACCTCAGGTCTACGAAGGCGCCATGACGGAGCTCCGGCTGTCAGCCATGGAACTGCTGAGGCTTGCCAAAGAGCGCGGCAAGCCAGAAGTGCAGAAAGCTGCTAGCAACTTGCGAAAATTCGAGCATCGCTGCATGCAGTGCTGGTCGCTGTCAGACACGCCGGTCTTCGCTAGGTCTTGCGTCAGCCTTGTCACAACCGAGTTTGCCAGTGTGTGTGAGGTATTGCCGTCCGCTGCCAGCGAGCAAATACCGGATGATATTTTGAACAGCTCGGTTATGCAGCACTTGCGAGCCGCCAATGACAAGGAGACCAACAAGCAGAAGCTGGTGCATGTGCTGCACTCTAGCGGCTGCGAGCAGTTCTTGGAGCAAGCGTCCAAGCTACTGGAAAGGCTGGAGCCACTTTTCACAGCTAAGAAGGTGTCACTTGAAAAGCTCCTCGTGGAGGCTGCTGCCAGTGCAAAAGCCAAGCTGGTTAATCCCCACATGGGCATGGATGAGTTCTTGCAGTCCGCAGCCTCTGGTGAAGCTATCAAGAAAGCCTTGAAGCAACTGCGTGCAGCGGAAAGGGACATGCAAGGCCACGGCATGCTAAAGGACAGCTCTGAGCTGCAGCGCGACGTCTCTGAAGTCAAGGCGTCTTGCCGTTTGCAGATCATCAAATGGGGAATCGTGACTTTGGTCGCCAATGCCGACATCGTGGCGGACAACAGCAAGGGGAAGGGCCTCAGGAAAACTTTGCGGGACGTCTGGAACAGTCATTGTGATGATGGTGATGTCAAGAGTGTCCTGGGGCAGGCGGTAGTGGACTTGGTAGAGCAGTCGTTGGCGACACCAGAGAAGACCGAGGACACCGGCGCCGTTGCGCCCAAGAAGCGTGGTAAAAAAAAGTAGGTCTGCGGCTGACAGCCAGCGCCACGACGACTACGAGTCACTACACGCCAGCTCCTGCGAGCTCTGCGCTGCTGCGTCCGGCTGCCAGCCAGGCACGGCGAGTTCTGCGCTGCAGCGTAGAGAGTCTGAGTCGTTTTTGAAACTCCTCCTTTTCCTGTCGGCCCGGTTCCTAGCCCGTAGCCCCAAAGTGCGACAGCGTTTCAAGCTAGGCTAAACCGCAAAACCTCACACTCAGCCGGGCTGTCAGCAAGGGGGGTTGCCGACGTCACTGTCACTGCGAGTTGTGTGCAGAAGAAATGAGTGCCAGGGATTCATGAGTCATTCGTCATTAAACAACTTGCTTAATATTAGTATGAATATGTAATATGAATATTAATATTAATATTAATATTAATATTAATATTAATAATAATATTAATATTAATATGATTAATATTAAATTTGAATATATAAAGAAAAAGTTGTATGAAAAGTGTATGATTATAGTTATTTTATTTATTATTGTTACTATATAAATTATATATATATATATATATATATATATTATATATATTATATATATACTAATAATAATATACATATTAATTTCCGGAATTTCCGGCAAATCATGAAATTCATGAAAGCCGAATTTCCGGAAATTCCGGCAAATCCTAAAATTCATGAAATCCGAATTTCCGGAATTTCCGGAAAATCATGAAATTCATGAAATCCGAATTTCCGGAATTTCCGGCAAATCATGAAATCCATGAAACCCGAATTTCCGGAATTTCCTGCAAATCATGAAATTCATGAAATCCGAATTTCAGGAATTTCCGGAAATCATGAAATTCAGATTTCCGGAATTTCCGGAAAATCATCAAATTCATGAAAGCCGATTTTCCGGAATTTCCGGAAAATCATGAAATTCATGAAAGCAGATTTTCCGGAATTTCCGGAAAATCATGAAATTCATGAAAGCCGATTTTCCGGAATTTCCGGAAAATCATGAAATTCATGAAAGCCGAATTTCAGGAATTTCCGGAATTTCCGGAAAATCATGAAATTCATGAAAGCCGATTTTCCGGAATTTCCGGAAAATCATGAATTTCATGAAAGCCGATTTTCCGGAATTTCCGGAATTTCCGGAAATTCATGATATTGGAATTATCGGAATTTCAGGAATTTCCGGAAATTCATGATATTCGAATTACCGGAATTTCAGGAATTTCCGGCAAAACGAGCAACATGAATTTCCGGATGGACGCTAAACCATCTTCCAGAAGCAAGCTCTTGGATTCACACAACCCAAAACCCAAAAGGAAGCCAAGTAGTCGCATTCAACGCAAGCGACGGCTGCGCAGCCAGGTAGTCGCATTCAAGGACACCACCTTTCCTGGCAGAGGCAGAGAAAGTCCTCAGGCGGGGCGGGACTTGCCTTGAGAGGACCAGACAGAGAATCAGACGTTTGGAGGTGTCCGAAGACATCTACTTCTCTCGTCCTCCAACCCGGCGCTGGTCTCTCTATTTGCTTGAGTTAATCGAGGACCAGCAGAGACAGCGAGGCGTCTACGTTCGGGGCTAGTTTACTTTGCCTTGCCCTCCGCAAGGACAGCTTCATCGGATCCCTCGTGCAAGGCGCACATCGATTGTGCAGACGTTGGCCTGTTGGACGACCTTTTGTGGAGGTGCTGTCGACAACAAAGACCGACCGCAGTGTGACCGGAAGACGGGATTCCTGGGGCAAGCCAGCACCTGAGGAGCATTGCAAGTGCCGACTTCTGCAGTGGCAGAACTACTAGAACCCGCACATGTTCGCGCCAAGAGCACGAGTGCGAAAGGCATTGTAGCGGCATTTCAAGATGCCGACAACTCCCCAGCTTGGAGCCTGTCAAAACAATGGGAAAGCCGAAGAAGACTCTGGTTTCGCTACGACAGGCTTTTGTCGGCAAGGGCCGAGGTGACGGAGTGCAGGCTCCTAGGAAGGAAACAGACAAAGATGCCCAAGCCTAGACGGTTTCTGTAACCTGACGAAGAAGGGCCGAGCATTAGAGTCGCAGTAAGGTGCTTTACGAGGCGATTCTGGATCGCTTGGAGGCCTTTACTGCCTTCCACATGCTCCAAGGGCAAGGCATGCCACATCGATCATTCCGAACTGCTTAGCAGGTAATGGCCACGGAGCTCCGCCAGAATCAGAAGCGGAAGAAGACAGGCTGTTGCCGTTCTTGTTGGCGCAATCCATCAGCAGAAGGGACGGTTCTCGCTGAGGTGTCAGAGAGGCACCTCGAAAGAAAGCGCGAGGAAGCTGAGTGCAAGTCAGGTCGCCTTGCATCAACACCCAACGTGATGCAGTCGTTTAGTGCTCCTCGTGTGAATTCGCTCTGTCCCGTGACATGCCGGCAGTGCGGTTTGTACAGACTCAGCGAAGGTATGCAAACCTCCGTGGCTGTGGGTTCGTGTGAGGCGTAATTCAGGCGAGGCCTGCTACTGTAATTAGGAGCATCTCTCTGAGCCGGGCAATAGCATGCAGCAGAAACAAGTAGCCACCGGCGCTCATCTGCAGTGCACTGGTCGCCGAGGCCGAGTGCGCTATCAAGGTGCTGGCAGCCACTGCATGAACATTCTTCATAGTGGTTGGTGCCACCCGGGCCCTTTTCAGCAATGCCAAAGTCCAAGCCGACATCACGAGCGGAGTGGGGGTTGCAATGCTGCGGACGCGCCAAGCATGCTGACCGTCCACAAGAACAGTGTACTCTCAAGCGTTGGAGCCCCAGTCAATGCAGGAATTGTGCGGGGTGATCCTAGCCGTCTTTGGTAATGCCCTGGTTCAACTGAAGAAACAGCGCATCCGGCGCACGTCGTGCCGTGTTGCCAGGGGCTCTTAATGCACGACGCAAGATTATTCCGAGACAGCGCAGATCCTTCGAGCATCGCTGTCGGGTAACGGGTGGCGAAGATCTCGCTTCGGTCTTTCGTGGAATTTCGCAAGACAGATGCGAGGCTGCATCGCTCAAATCTCTTGACACTTCAATATCGCAGACGGGGCAACGGTGCCACGGTGCTCCTACTTGAGCGGTTCGGAAGGACAGTTTCTGATGCTGCCGCAGGGAGTGGACGTTAACTTGACGCTTTCTCGGAGCCTCCCAGCCTCTAAGCCGAGAGGTGACCTTGGAGCAAGCAGCCGTGCGGCAGAAGGCCCTGGTCCGAAGCAGAAGCAGGAAGAAAGGAAAAATGGAAGAAGTGATACTGTCAGGAGCTGGACTTCTACACGAACAACTACTGGATATGGGGAGGTCGGGGCCGGGAGGCCGGAGGCGGATGTGCAGGGATCGGACCAGACGCAGAGGCACAACAGTCATCATGGCCGGCTTCGCCTTGGCCGAGTTGACGCGAGAAATTCCTCAAGGCTGCCGGGAAGAGTTTATTTTCTTTCAATTTGTGTTTGTAAATTTTGCGTTTGTTGAGGTCCTGTGAGACCTCTTATGCCATGCTACTTCTCTCCTCTCTTGAGTGCTGGGAGGCACACATCCCGCTCTGGAGTGCGCCTACTTGGGATTCACGGCCATCTGCCTTAGCACGAGTCTTACAGAGCTTTTTGTACAAATCTGAAGCAGAGGGTGTGAGGTTTGAGACTCTTGCAAGGCTTGGACCTGTGCATTGTGACCTGGACCGTGCTGGTCTGCACCTGGGGCCCAGGATTCGAGCATTTCGATCTTGTCGTGCCGGGCTGCCAGAGCTGAGAACAGGAAATGCCCTACGCGGGCCCGACGGAATGAAGTCATTCCACGATACCATAGCTCTCCTCAAAGAAGAACAAATGCGCTGACCTCAGTCGCCTTCTCTGCTCTCGTGGTTGAACTGCTTCAGTGCTTGAAGTATGACCTCGCGCAGGCCCATCTACTATGCTTTTGTCGTCAGCATTGTGGCATACTTCGGATCATCGTGCTGCCTCTTGTGGGTCTACCCCTCCGACTTTGTGCCCAATGCTGTGGGTACATGTGCCCGGTTCTCAGAATCGAGTAGTAGGTGGAAGTGAAAAGATTGAAAAGACACGCTTATGCGAGGTTCTGATACTGTCATTCACGGTGATTGTCTACATGCAGTACACCTTGGAGTCGGGGTCCCAAGACCTGTTTCGATTTGGACATGTCTGCGTCCATCCTGCGTGTTCATGCCAATAGCGTGCAGGCATCAAGTTGGTGTTCTTGGAAACTCGCATGACGACGACGGCACGGGCTGCAGTATCTGTGAGCGAATCGCTCTTGTACAGGGGCAAGGCGTTGATTGGTTGACGGCATGCTGCAGGTCGCATCAAGACCTTCACAGCTCTTGATGATGTCGCAGACCTGGACATGTGCAGTACTTACAGGGAGGGCGTGGTGGTGTTCTTAGATCTTCCAATGCTATCCGCTTTGCAATAGCGTGCTGCGGTATCACCTGTCGGTCGTTGCCCATGTGTCCCAGCCTCCTCGTCTGGGAAGCACATGGGCGCATCTGGCAAATGGTCAGACCTGTGTTTGAAAGCAGGCTCCACCGAAAACAGTGAAGCAGTTTCCGTTTGGTCGGATAGTTCGGTGTCGTGTCCTCTCCAACGTGGGTTTCGGCTTGTCAAAAAGAGCCCCTGATTGAACCGTCAATGATGGAGACGGAGAGTGGGATGAGACTTTGGGGCGAGATGTCCTCGTCGCAAGCGGCTGGAATTGAGAAGGCCTGTCTGTGTAAAGGGTGAAGCTGTGCTGCAAGTGCGGAGGTCTTGGCTGGAGAATAACCGGCTGTAGATCATCAGTGGAACAAGGAAGAACAACTTAGTGGAGCGTTCAATGTTTTCTTTTTCAGTGTGATTTGCGTAGCATCGAAGCCTGCTGGGAGCTCGCTGGAGAACTGGTGCTGCACCCTTTCCTCAGGTGCCTGTCGGACGTGCCAAGTACTACCTGAGAAGGCCCACGATTTCTCTGAGACATCTCCTTTCGAGATGTTCCGCAGTCCGCTATGCGAAGATGCCAAGGGGCAAAGCTCCCCACGGAGGCTCCGTGCTCCGCCGAAGAGTGGCTTCCGAGTCGCAGACATTCGCAGACAAAATAGCCCTGCGGTTTTCACTCAGCCATCGCCAATGCGAAGTGAAAGTTTGATTTCGGTTTGGACGTGTTCCATCTGGGGGCAAGGGACTGAGTCCTGGCCAAGATCTACAAATCCACGTGCAAGGGTCTATGCAAAGCCGGCTGCGTTGGTGCGAAGCACCAACGCTGAGACTCCCGTCTTCACTCGGGGGAACAGACTTCAAGCGGCACACGCTCAAGGATTTATTGCGAGCATTAATAGAATCGGCGACCTTCGTCAAGCGAGCAAGGTTCCTGAAGTTTCGGCGGCTGCTACGCCACCCAGGAGTGTGTGATGGATCAACGGGGCAAGGGGCTCATCGGTACTGCCCGTCGGCATGGAGCCAAAGAGAGCAACAAAAGACATCAACCCCGAACAGGATCATGCAACATGCCAACAGCGCTCAGGCCCCATCTGTGCAGTCCAAAGATTCCTGTGCACAGCGAAGGCTGCGATGTGAGAACTTGATCTGCTATCTCGATGGGTTCAAGGAACACGAAGCTTTCCCTGCAGATGCCGCGCTGCCTGCGTCCCACCACCTGCCGCCACCCGGCTCCCATCCGCTCCATCCGATCCGTTCCGTGCGCGAGAAGCACGATTTTCTCTTGCCCGAGTCTGGTGCACCGTTTTGTTAGATGATGTCAGATGCCACTTCATTCAATAAAGAAGCATGTGCTGAGGATGGTTCGATGTAGGCAGTGGGCAGTGTGTGCTTGCGGAATAGCGGCAACTTGTTGCCGAGATAAACAAAATGATTTCGTTCTGCAAGAGGAACTCAGTCAAGTGCGTGAAGTGGGCGGTTGTGACTTAGACTTGTCGTGCTCCGCCGCTTGAAGTTTGGTGCATCACGTTGCACTTGCATACCGTGGCTTGCAGCGCTCATTCCCCTTGCGCTACCGTTGCTCTGCCACTTGGGTGGCAAGGACTTACAATCCCACTCAAGAAAGTAGCAGGAAGTCAAGATTTGGTTGTGCCGTATTTCTTGCTCATTTGTCCCTGATTCGTGTATTTATCAGGAGCCAAGCTTTCCACATTGTTGGAAATTTCGCACCTCACGAATTTAGACCGCCTCTTTTCTTTCATTGTGTACCCCACATATGGCATTGGCCTGGAGGTACGTAGCAACCTCTCACAAAATTGGTTTGTGCATTGTTGCCTGCGCTGAGGCGCGCATGCTATGCCGGACATGCAGAGTGTCATTGCCGCCTAGCTTCAAACAGTTTGGGCGTGCGTTTCGCATCACAGCATATTTTGAGTTGCGGGTGACATGGCTCCAAGGTATTCATATTGCTTACCGTTGGGACGTCATCGTCCCATGCGAATCTTCCAGGCAAGCACGTGCTGCTTGCGAGACAGGTGCATTTCAGTTCACGTGACTATGCGCATGGGATGAGTTCGAGAACTCCATGGTAATGCTGTCATGGTGCCAAGAACTATCGTGCACTTTGGGGACAAGGAGCTTCAGATTAGCTAGCCAGGATGATGTGGATGCCGTATTGTGCAATGCTCTGCCGTTGTCATTGACAGGTGAGCCACATGCGACTCCCAGTGCAGCCTTGTTGCAGGCGTCCAGTCCCGTTTTCGGTTCACGAAGAAGCGTGTCTAGCCTCGTTCAGCGTCGCAAGTACTGCTTTGTGGCACCTCTAGACTCTAGAAGGTCCGAACACGGCACGTGATGGAGCCGTTTGAGGATGCGGATGCCGCAGGTGCGGTCCTGATCGAAGCATGCTTTGAAGGCTTCGGGCGGGGCTGTTGTTTGTAGCTTCGGCATGCTCGAAGTAGAAATGCTCAGTGTCTCCGAGCTTCGGAGCCTCAGCATCTGAAGCCCTTTCGACAGAAAACCTGCCGTTCATTCATTGAAGGCTTCCTTAGCCGTTCCTTGGTGCGCTACTTTGTCGGGGAGAAGCTTTGTGCTTGATTTGGGATCCAAGGCCCAAGCGAGCAAGAACCCATTGCAGGCGCAGGTGCAGAAGGCCGCAAGGCTCGGTGCTGGCCCCAGCTGTGCTTTCGCTTGGCGGCGCTTGCTGTACTACGCAGGCGCATGTGAAAGAGCTGGCACCTCTAGAGCTGGGGGGCCCCCTGTTCGAGCAGTGCCGAGCTCGCAAGAAGAAGCCGACCGTGGGCATGGAGGAGTCTCTGGCCTGGCCTTTGGAAGACGTGGTTCCGGTGTTCGTATGTACACGTACATAAATTATGTTAATTCGGTATCTGCATATGCATGTGCCTACGCATGTCTGTATTGAATTATGTATGCATGTACGTCTGTATGTATGAAAGTTATAATGCAGGTAGGTGGTAAGTGTATGTGTGTGTGTACGCCTTGATTCTAAGCTAAGGCTTTTTGGCAAGACATGTGTGTTGCGAGATCGTTGAATCAGCAGCAGGGGGCTCTGGAAGCTTGACTGGGACCAGAGCCAACGAAGACGCCCAGTTAGTGCCTGTGAAGCAAGGATGGACGCATCCTTGTGTACCGGCTTTTTCATTGAATGGCGTCAGGCGAAGCCGAGAACCTGACTGTTTCGTGAAGCTGCTTCGCTTGAGAGTGTGAGCCCTGTCAGGTTGCAGAACCAACGTCGCAACACTTAGGTAATTTCATCATTTGAAATCTTCCCCAGAAAGTGTGAATGGTGGTGTCAACTTATACTCCGTGTGCGGCCTTGTCGCCACCGGCAACACTCGCTCATGCGAACTGCCAGGGTACGTCGTTATGGTACCATAACAAGTCGAACTCCTGCGGGACAGACTAATGGAGCGTGGCGCACTTTATGGTGGCCAGCTTCCTCAAGTGACAGGCCCAACCGCTCCCATGGGGCCAACAGTGGAATGGTGCCCCGATTCTGTGAGGAGATGGGCTTTCGTGATAAAAAATGTCCCAGGTGGCTCGAGCAGTCGTATGGTGCTCATGAAGGAACGTGATTTCTGTTGATCAGTGTCAGCTCATGGTTTCTGGTAGCATCTTGGCTTGCACCTTCTTGCGTAGGCCGTAGCTGTCGCTGGTGCGTTGTAATCATGGAGCCACAGTTTGATTCGGAAGTTGTCGGTGTGGACATTCTACAAAACCCTGTTGAAGTCGGTGATGTTACAGCACCGTCCCCTTCGGCAATTCTTCTGCCAGGGATACGATCTTCCCACTTCTACACAGGAGTCTTCAGGCCGAGACATACCGGAGATACCAACGGTGGAGCAGGTCAAGGAGGAGGATCGAAAGTGTCCTTTTGAGGAATCGTCGTCATCATCATCTTCTCGTTCTCGCACCTCTGAGATTGCGTCGGAGGGCAGCGATAAGTCGGTAGAGTGCCGACCAAAACCAAAGACCAGCACTGGCACCCCGAGAGGGTCTGTGGGTACAGCTCTTCAGGAGAAGCGACGAAGGCAGAACATGTTGGAATCAGTGGAGCTTTGTGACAGTGCCATGCAGGTTGAACAGAGTTCTGCAGATGATCCGTCAGATGTTTCAGTCATCAGGATATGGCAGATAAGGCGGAGCTTTTGGCGACCTCTCGTCAAGCTGAGCCGACAGCACCTATGCCATCGTTCTCCACACCAGCTAACGCGGCCCAGGTACTTGCTCCTCCCCCGCCTCCACCTCCTTCAACTTCGACAGGCATCGATTGTACTCCTACAGCTCCTCCGAAATACGCAGGGGACGCTCTTCTTACCGCCAGCGGTCAGGACTTGCACACAGAGTTGGTACTTTCTAGAGTGGTGGCTGGTGCAGTCAGTGTCAATAGCTGGCAGACCCGAGTTATTCTGAGGGCAGATCCCGAGTTCCCGAGCAGGACATTGAGCGTAACATGCGTGCTTTAGTGAAGTTGTGCACGACTGCAGGGGTTCAGCCACCTCCTCCATTTGAGCTTCGCTATTTTGCCAGCTGTTTGTGAGTTGCACGAGCTTTTCGTTCTGCATGATGACGTGTCTGCTGAGCAACGTAATCTGTACTGTTTCGCTCCGGGCATTGAAGGCATGATTCATTCACGCTTTATAGCCCCGGCTACTATAGCCGACGGTCCCGAAGCAGTTGGTCACTATTCTCAGGCGACTCTATGGAACGACGATGCTTCTCTCATTCAGACCCTAGACAGAGTGACCAATTTAGCGAAATGGCAGTGCCCGGTCATCACTCGGGGCTACACTAGAATACCAGTACACTTTGCTCTCAAGGCTGCAGGTGGTGACGAAGCGCAACAGCAATGTGTGACCCATGGTGTGGTCCATTTCAAGAGAGATTACAAATATGTCATGCGCAGCGGTAGATCCACCGTCGCTGGTTTCCACGGTGGCAGTTGCTAAGCAATTCAGGGATGCATCAGGACGCCGCTTTTTCAGGTTCCTCTGACACATGCTCAACAGATCCAGCGAGGTTCGGGCAAATGATTCGTTTTCGAACACAAAGAAGAATCCCAGGATTCCGCATGCTTCATGTTGTCATGTCCGTGTTGCATGCATTGGCGTGAGCTACACTTGTGGATGTTTTTGTTTTTGGCTGCAGTACGTGTGTTTTCTAGATAGTGAGCTGTGCCGCATCGTCGAGATTCTCGATCCAGGACTCCTCCTAGATCGCATCGAAGACACCCGGATTTCTCGTCGGGCCACATGTCTCGCCACAGATCGCGCGCCAGATCGAACACTCACGGATCATCCGCCCAGATGCCGAGGACGTGGAAGCAGACTTCTCATGAATGGGATTCGAACAGAGTGTATGGTTTGACACTTCCGAAGACTGTGGTGTCGAATCGACTTACTCGAGAGCAAGGGAGTGCAGGCATGAGTACTTTGGAAGTTCTTTGGCACAAGGTGATCTCGGGAGGGAACAAGAATTGGGCTTTGAGGCAAGTAGCTCATGGTCGTACTGTCCAGTGGGAGAGCTTTCGGTGGAGGCAGGAGGCAATTTTCTGTGGAGTGCTGATGCGAACACTTCGTTCAGATCAATCCGAGCAGGAAGGTACGGATTCTGTCACCGTATTGAATGCCTCCCAAGAGAAGTTGTTTCCTGCTTCCGATTTGCATGATTGGAATGCTCGGTACAATACCATTAAGAGGTTAGCGGAGGACATGGTTAAAGAAGGTCGAAAGAAGGCATCAGACTTTGCTGAGGCGACTTGAGACGTTGGAGTCGGAGAATGCTCGGTTGAAAGGTCAAGCCTCGCGGTCGAGGCGCAAAGGAGTGTCCAAGGTACCTGCCGCACCTCCGCCTATCGAGGAGGAGGACCCTCCTGAGGAAGATGCGGCGGAAACGGCCAATTTCCATCGCCCGACAGGTCAGGACACAGGACCCATCGCAGCCGAGGACACCGATGAACAGTACCTTCCGTAGCCAGGCGTTACTCTTTTTCTTGAGGATTGCAGTTTGGATGCCACAACTCTCAAGGGGGTCAATACCTGGCTCCCTTCCACTGCGCTAGCAAAGCCACGAACAAGGTCATTGATGCTGTAGCTGCTGAGTTTGTTGCCGCGTGCTCTAAATTGGATGATGGTAGCAAGAAACCAGTTGACAAGATTGCGGTTGAGTGGGGCCTTTCAGTTCCACTTGCCGCCAAGCTCAATGAGAAGTGTTTGATCCGCCTGATCGCTGGCGCCCGTCTGGTTGCTTCGCAGTGACTACAGGAAGGTTCCCAGGCTCTGTGCCTAGGTTTTCCATGACGTATCGTCACATTCGAGACTTGCTGATTCAGTTTGAGGTTCGTGTTGATTATCCATGGGACTGGCATCAGCGACAGTCCATGGTGTATCTTCGTGTTTCCGTGACCTCAACATTACATTCTGCCATGCTGTGCATCGGTGCCAGTTCAGGTAATGTGCAAGGTCGTGAAGCTACTCGTCGCAGGAGGTTCATACAGTATGCTCGCAAGAAGTTGTCACATTTCGAACCAGCGCTGAAGGTTTTCCATCGGAAATGCAATTGTGACAATGGCATTCTGATTGCGTTACATCATGAGCCGGACGGACTTTCTCTTTTAGCCACTGAAGCTGCTTTGATTCATGCAATTCGACCGCAGTTGAATTACCCTTGGGTGCAGGATGTCATGAAGGCACTCAGGATCAAGCAGAACAGATTCCGGATGCCACAGGCCAGGACAGGACTGCGTCAGGTTCGGAAGGCTCTCGCGATGATTAGGCATCATCATGTTGCCTATCACGCACTTGTCGTGAGCAACAAGGACAGTTTTCTCTCCTTGTAACGTTTGGGAGGTGACAGTGTGCAGGAATTTGAGGAGTCACGCAGACTGCGCTCACATGTGGTACCTTTGCAGGCCATTTATCTTCGCTGCAGGTTGGTGGCCATTATCGATGAGCCTTTCAGGACCAGAGCAATCAGTCAACTTCGACTTATTCTTGAATCTCGCAAAGGACGCTCTCATGAATGTTCCTCTCAGGCTCCCTCCCCTTGCACATGATTTGGCTGGGGAAGTACAGCACATTCTTCGGTTCGTTGTGCAGCGGGAACGTGTGAATTTCCCGCCTTTACATCTCCCATCGGTCAAAATTGTCGAAATCAAGGCTCGTGCATGGTCTAAAACAGGATTCAACTTTCGAACCTTTCTGAGGTCTTGGATACCAGGCAAGCCACATTCCTGTATGCAGGACCTGGCGCGCATCAGACACAGGACACTGGTTTGCGCATGTTCGACAAATTCTTCCTGCTTCTCCTTTCGCAGATTTGAACCTGAGTGACACGACGTTTCTACCAGACAAGCTGGACACGTATTGCTGGCAAGGAATTACGCGTGTGGTGCAACAGGTGGAGATTACCTGATCGTGTACGGACAGGACTCTTGCATTGGATGAAGCATCAGATTTCTTTGCATCAGCGTGCCTTACAGTCTGAAAGTCACGAGTTACATCGAGATGTCATACATGATCTTCAGGCAACGCCAGGACTGGTGTTTACACGTGTAGATCACTTCCCGCTTTCACTTCATGTAGCATGTCCGTTTGCCTTTCAGGAGCGTTTGGACATAACTTTTCTGGACGGCACAATTTTTCAGCAATGCATCGTGGGAATGAGTTCATTATTGCGAATCTCAAAGATCCTGCCCGAGCATTGGACGTAGTAGCACACAGGATGTCCAGTCCAGATAACGATTGTCCGTCCGGCGTGTATGGGATTCAGAGTTGATTCACAGCTCAGATTTGCTTCGCAGCTCCGATTTTGAGTGCAGTGCAGCTCAGAGTCTGTGTACATCGACGACAATTCCGAGGACAGCGCAAATCCAAGTTCAAACGAAGGACATCATCCGGATTCTGCAGAGCTGTCCAGTGCATCCAGTCAGGAGCCATGTCTGTCATGTGCAGTGAACAAAGTCCCACAAGAGATGTCACATCGAACCGTCGTCTTCGGATGATGGACGAAGATTTCGGATGGAGTTCGAATAAAAATCCCCTGTGTGTAGGAACTGTTTCGACAGCACATAGCAGCCACTAAGGAGTTGGAGGACGATTTTTATGCGCCCAGCAGGGCAGAGCTTATGCTGAATGTTCTGCAGAGGCGTGGTGACCGAGTGGTCAAAGAGACATCAGGTCCCAAAAGCGTTTCTCCAGCGTTGTTTCAGGTGCCTCTGAGGTTTCCGCTACATATCATTTGATCGAACCGCAGGACCTGCATTGCTCTGGGAACCCCGGCCAGAGCCAACGAAGACGCCCAGTTAGTGCTTGTGAAGCAAGGATGGACGCATCCTTGTGTACCGGCTTTTTCACTGAATGGCATCAGGCGAAGCCGAGAACCTGACCGTTTCGTGAAGCTGCTTCGCTTGAAAGTGTGAGCCCTGTCAGGCTGCAGAACCAACGTTACAATGCTTATATATATATATATAAGTATAAATGTCCATGCATTGAGTTTGGCAGGCTTGGGTGTGCATGTTTCATTTCTGAGGAACCTTGTACCTGATTGCAATTTTTGGCTTAAGCTTCAGCTAGAGCCAAACCTGGCAAGCTGGTGCCTCCTTTTCTGTGGAGAGTGACTCCATAGGTATGGATGTGGCTACCCGTGTCGGTCGCATCACTTATACCGAGTCGAGGGTCCTGCATGCTGAGAACATGTCGGCCTTTGTCAGGTATATGGGGGAGTTCAGCAGGAACAATGACTCTGAGGCTTTTTGGCATGTCTGGAACCAGGTATGTGAAGTCGTGCACTTCCCTGCTCCCTTGGACATTGTCCCGAGTCTCAGGATCGACGGCAGGTTCGTGCCCCTTCGCCGCATCGCTTGTGTCGCTTCCCCATGTCCAAGGTGTGATGAGGCCCGTGGCGGGTTCCAGTTCCCTTGGTTGGGACCGTGGGCTGTCAGGGCTACTGTGGTTCCGGATGGCTGGCATCCCGACGATGCTCGCACCAGGTTTTACGAGTGCGATGTCATGTTCACTGATGAAGAACTCACGCTGCATGGTTCGGTCATCACCATGCGTGACATGCTCACTGCCACGATGGCACGGGTTCTTTACATGGCGGAAATTAACACACTGCATGATCTGCCGGGGGCTTCTCTGTCCTCGGTTTTGGACACTTGGAGGCAGTGGCAAAGAGGCCAGCGGGTCTGGCGCGACCCTTCGGTTGGGACAGGTGAGGTACCCAGCGCAATGGAGGCTCTCTTGGACCCCGATGTCCGTCATCGCCGCGCACTTATCTTCTGGTTGTTTCATGCAGGCAACCCGGAACACGACCCTGGCTGCCTTCGGGTTATGTGCTTGCACTGTGGTAACCCCTTGCCTCGACGCACAAGGTGGCAGACTACTCAGTGTAGGCAGTGTCGCCGCCTCTCGGCCAGGATTGGTGGGGCAGCCGCTGGGGACGTGGTGTCGGGGTCTTCTTCTTCCAGTTGAAGGGTGTTGGGCAGGGGAGTCGGCGGCTGGGCGTGTGACGCTTGGCTGTCTGCTCGTGGCTCCCGGCCAGGTGGCCGCAAAACAGCCGTCGTCGGGGTATGCCAGACGCCGGGCCTGAGGGACAGGCCTTAGAGCCTTAGGTGCGACCTCGAGGGTTGGGCGAGGTACGCCCAACCTTGGGGGCGAGTGCTGGCCGCTCCCTGGTGACCATTATAAGCAGACTGAGTTTGAGCAGCAGGCGTTACCCTTGCATTATGAGCTCATTTCGGCTGCCAGGTCATGGTGTTGGACATCTTCTCGTCGTGGCTCGCTTTGCGAGGTCGACTCTTCCTTCAGGACTGGGGGGCCCCGTGACAGATGCAGGTTTCTTGCTTCGGAGCGCTGTCATTCAAGGTGTTCCCGTTCCTCCTTTAGATTTGGGCTCCAGATTTGGGCAGTGGGGCTCGCCTTGGTAATCATGCCCGGGAACCTGGGCGTCTATGCGACCGAGTCGCTTTCAGCGGCCTCGGCGCCGGAGAGCGCATACACGGCCATGGGGGAAATGTCTCGGCAGCGTGCCGGGCAGTGGCGGGAGCAGCACGGGCTCCTCAGCGATAGCGACTTTGCCTTCAGTCTCCAGAGCTACGAGGATTCGACTACGCGGTCCCGAGCCACTTCATGTCTGGGTGGGATTGGTCGACCCGCTGGCTGGAGGATTGGCGCGCCCTCCCTGTGCTATCCCGTCAGAATGCGGGCATCAACTTCAACGAGTTTGGCCGGCCCTACTCCACCCCCCAGACAGTCAAGCTGGCTCAGGATTTGTACACCCCCTTGCTTGCTGCAGGTGCCGCCCAGGTCAGCACGTACAGCTTCAGGAGAGTGGGCCCTTCTTTCGCTACGTTGGCTGGCTGGTCCCCCCAGCAGCAGGCAGGATGCCACACGCCTGCGCCAGGAGGGCAATTCCATGCCCCTTCGGTACGCCAGCACTCGTTACACGGCGTCAGTGCGACGCAAGCATTGCCTCATGTTGCTAGCTTGGTGCGCTTTACTTCCTGGGATGAGGTTACTCAGGAGGCCTTGGAGGCCGCCGAGCGGGACGGTGCCCTGGGTATGGACAGAGCCGTTCAGAAGGACAACCACACGGTGTGGCAGGGCCAGCTCTCCCCTGAAGAGATCCAGCCACGGTTTCGACTGCCAGCTGCGGTGCCGGTGCCTGCGGCAGCTGCAGCAATGATGCCGCGGCAGATTGGGGGCAAGCGGCTCTCGGCTACCTTGCGGGATGGAGTGCAGCTATGCGCTGCTTTTCAGGCGGGCCATTGCCGGCATCAGGGCGATGAGTGCTCTGGCGGCCGACATCGCTGCGCCATTCTTCTGCAGTCGGGGAGGGTGTGCGGCGGAACCCACGGTGCTGAGGTCTGCCGGGTCAAGCGCTTTGTGAAGGCTCCCGAATCTCCGCCGAGGACGGGGACACGTGCCAAGGCCGGCGCTGTGGTCTTGAAGCCCAAGGCGAAGACGATCCAGGTCAAGGCCATGCCAAAGAGCCGGGGCGCTTTGGCTGGCTCTGGGAGCTCGTCCTCGGATCTCCCTCCTTTAGAGGCAGCGTGTTGCGCAGGAGCCGGCTCACCCGCCACCGAGATCTTCTGCTTCCGCGTCCGCCCGTGGTTCGGGCATCCCTGAGCCAGCTACGCCGCCTCGCAGTCGGCCGGTGCAGCCTTCGACCCCCCTCCAAGGCGTGCTGCATCGAGCCCACCAAGAGTCTCAGGACGGACTGGAGGGCGGAGGGACCGCCAGGATGATGCGGCTGAGAGTCGCGCTCTGGAGCGCCACTTCGATAGCATTGCCACCATCGGGGGGAAGCGCATTCAGCCCCAGTTTTGGGAAAGTCGCGAGGGAGGGACCCTCTGGTTATCTGGCATGCCCACGGCCGAGACCTTGCATGCTTATCCGAGGTGTGACCTCCAGCTGTCTTGGCTGACCGAGTCCCTCACTTCCCGCGGCGGTGCGATCATTCCTGGAGCTTTGCAGATGCAGGTGGCAATCACGGACGCTCGGTCCAGGGACAGGCAATGGAAGGAGTGCTGGCCAGTCATTCGCCAAACTCTTGTGAGTGGAGGCTCCGTCGTGGGACATTGCGTTGCGGGACGGCACCGTGCTGCGACTGGCCAAGCGCTGCTTCTCGCCTTGCTCACCGATGCCCCCTTTGAACGGGCTCAGGCCACAGTGGGTCGCCTTCGGGAATGTCAAATATATAGAGTGATGGACCAAGGCACCATTGCGCAATGGGTCCGTAACATCCGCCGTACGGCGGTGGTTGGAGTGCGCTGGCCGACGCCAACAGGATATATGTTTACTGACCGGTCTCAGGTCCACCTCGATTTAGGCAACGGCGTACCGCTATGTCGCCACCGCCAAGGACAAGAGGCAGGTCAACGCCTCCGGGATTGTACCAAGGTTCAAGACCTCCAAGAAGCTCAAGGCTATCAACGGGCCTTCTGTCGTGACTGCTTGCAGCGAGCATCGGCAGTATTCCGCCCAAAGTGAGGTGATCACATGTGAGGGTGCAACGTCCGGAGGGACCGGACTTCTGCGCGTGAACCTTTCCGCGCTTGGCCTTCTTGCCGGGGCCCTCAGAAATTGAGGCTCAGTGGCAAGCACAGAGCTTGTCATTATAGGAGGGGTTCGACCCGCCCGGCCGTCGCCACAAAGGAAACAGAGGGTGTGTGCCAGTGAATGCAGAGTGCCTGCATTCTCCGAGGGCTTGCTGCAGCCTCTCATGTGCACATGTGCTTCTCTCTCTTCCTTAAGTCGGCTTCTGCTCTCCTCTCCTCGGCCCGCTTTCTTTCCCCTCTTCTCTTTGCTCTCCCTTCCGTCTCGGCAGGATATGGCGCAGTTTTCAGCCCGAGGAGAGCACAGACCTTAGCGATCAGGCGGAGTTACCGTCGGTTTCTCCAGCCATGGCTTCCTTTAGTCTTGTGCCGAGGGACGGTGCAGACTTTCGTGCGACTATGGAGTCATTGCAGTTAAATTTTGAGTTCTCCGATGATGTGCTTGAGGCGTTGGTCAAGCAGAAGATCAAGAATCTCGAAGAATTTCGCTACTTCTTCGAATCAGAAGGGGAGATAGGCCTCTGGGTCCAGAAGCTGTCTTTAGGAGACCAGCAGCCGCTGCAAACGGCCCGCCTGCGCCGTACTTGGGCGGCCGTCAAGGTCTTCTTCCAGCATGCCGACGCAGGCCGGGTCCGGATCTCAGAGGCGGATCTGGATGATCTTCTCGATGACAGTTCCTTGCGCGACATGAAGCAGCAGTTTTGGCGGCGTTACAAAACCAGGTTCCCTCCGGAACTGTATCCATCAGACGCCACGCTCTCGCGAGTGACGCGAGAGCTCAACAAAAGAATGTTGTGCGTGTTCAGCGTCTGGAAGGTCAAGAGTCTCCAGTTTCAGCTTCTGAGCACTAGCAAGAAGCGCAGACTTGGGGATAACTTGTACACCGAGGATCAGGACCAGGACGAGGTGATCCCTCGCGACTGCGAGTCCTACCTTGACCGCTTGCAGATTCTCCTCACAGCATATGCGTTGGCTGGGGTCCAGCCCGTGGCGGGTTCTCCCCCCGCTAACGGGGAGAACACGGTGGGGTCCGATACCACGCAGTTCGTGCATGCACCCTTGGACGTGCTCATGGAGTACTTCCATCGAGCGAAAAGGTCGGTCTCGCAGGTACAAGGGCCTAAGAAACTGTCCTGGCTTCAGCACAAGGACACCGAAGAGCGCGCAGTCTGGGTCTCCAAGTTCAGGGAGTCCACCAAGACGCTCGGTGCCGTGGTGCGCGAGGTGCTCAACCTGCGCGATGCGCACTGGATACCGGTGCAATCGGGCTCCGCAAGCGAGGCCTTGTCCGCTTCCCCAGCGAAGCCTCCACAGGGAGGGGCCCCGCAGCCCCCCCCCAAGCCTTCTGCCTTCGCCTTGGGCAAGAGCGTCAACGGGAAGAAGGTGGCGCAGATGATGGAAGATGGCAAACGACTATGCCAGGATTATCAAGAGGGCCGTTGCGCGCGAGGCAAGCAATGCCCCGATCTGCATAGATGCGGCGTGGTTCTCAAGGGCGAGAGAGTCTGCGGATCGGCTAAGCATGGTGCTTCGCAGTGCAAGCAGAAGGTCAAGCCCTGAGGGTGCCCAGGGGAGGGGGAGGCGACCCCCTCCTTGGGGTCAGAGGCTCCTGCATCGCCCAGATCAATCCCTGTCATGGCGGATCTCTTTTCCGGACCCAACGCACCGCTCTCTAAGGCTTTTCTCTTTTGCGGCTGGCAGTGCCTGCCAGTGGATCTCAAGCTCGATTCATCCCATGACTTGGCTAATCCACTCAGGCAATCAAGCTTGGCAGCACAGCTCCAGCAGGTCGATTTCATAGCGGCAGCTTTCGACTGCTCCACCAAGAGCCGCGCGCGGGACATCCCGCGCTCCTTTGAGGATGGCAGGCCGGCACCTAGGCCGCTTCGATCTGCATCATGCCCAGAGGGACTGGGTGGGCTTAGCAAGGCTGAGCAGGAGCGAGTGGACAAAGACAACAGAGCATGTTCCTTTGTCCTCGATGCTATTCAGCAAGCGGCCGAGAAGGGCGTCGGGTCAGTGCGCGAGAATCCAGCCAACAGCTTGCATTGGCTTCTCCCCCAGGAGGTGCAGTCTTTCCAGTCGGGCTTGTGGCAAGACAAACACTATGATGCGTGTTGTTGGGGTGGAGCCCGCTACAAGCGCCAGCGACTGAGGCACAATTTGCAAGAAATCGCAGACTGGCCGGCGATTCAGTGCCACCATATCCATGGTAAAGGCGAGTGGGACCCTCAGTCCGTGGATGGCAGACACTGGTTCCCGTCGCAGGAGGAAGCGGAATACACAGCCCCGCTTGCGTTTGCGATTGCAGTGTCAGCCTCGTGGTGGGCTGCCAGAGTGGGCCGCGCTAAGCTGGCTGTCCCAAGGATGCCGGTCCCGGGCTGTGTTGGTCGGCGGGAAGCGTGGACTAGCTTCGATCCGCGAGCACTGCGGGCCTGGGCGATGGCCCCTTTGGCTATCTCCCTTGGCTTGACCCCGCCCTGCGAGGCGGAAGCGAATCGAATCCCACAACGCAAGAGATCCAGCGTGAGGACGGTTTGCTACCACCAGGAGCCATCTACATTGGCCAAGGCCACCATTCACACCGCCTGCCACGCACCAAATGGGCAGCCCCCATGGTGGCGGGCCACGACTGTTCGTTTGACGAGTTCCTGCCTCGTTACGTGCAGCACATCAAGGACAACTTGGGAGACCAGCTCCCAGAACTCTTTGGGAAGACCTTGGTGGTGGATGAGATCACCGCCTGGCCGTCGGAAGGTGATGCCCTTGCCGGGCTCGTCTTTGAAGAGCTGTCGGACAGGAACAGGGAAGCCAAGCCATTGCAACGGAGGCCGCCGAATAAGAAGCGCAGGAGTAGCCAGATTGGTCGTCCACTCCGTGCGCTCGGGTTGGCAGTGGCTCCGTTGGCGGATGCATCCCAAATTTTCTCCTGTTACTTGCGGCAAGAAGATGTCTTTGGGGCAGTCTGCAAGCTTTTTCCGGCAGAATGGTTGGAAGGAGTTACCTTCCCGTTCCTTGAAGACTTGATCAACGCTCCACCGTTTGATTTGTACACAAGGTGGCTGCGAGACTCGGGAGCTGATTGGACAGGGCCTTGCGGGCCTACTTTGGCTCCCCAGTCGGCCCGTATATCTTCCAGCGTGCTGCGGGACAGCAGGCGGGAGCTCTAAGCCAGAGGGCAGCCTTGCCTCCTCTTCTGTCCTTTGGATTATCAGAAGAGGACCATTTCTGCCATTCTCTTGCACGCCTTCACGAACCAGTCCCCACGGAGCGCGAACCTATCTTGGACCCCGACCTCCGCTTCGCCGCCGACTTCACAGCAGCCAATCGAACAAGCTTGCGATCCCTGCGCCAGAATGCGATCGGTGCAGTACGTGAGCTAAAGCGCAGGTGGGCCCCAGTCGATGTCGCCCTGCGGCGCTTCCAGGCCCCCTCCCTACACCGTGTGACGGCTGCTCGGGACATTGGGCTAGTGGCGCTACTCGTTGTGCTGTTCTCCTGGCCTGACACGGCTCTGCCATTTGCCCTGGTGGCGGGAATGCCAGCGGTGGGTTTCGCGCCGTGTTACGGCGTCTTCCCACAGCTGCCCACTTCGCGCATCTCCTTTGACGAGGTGATGGGTGACTGGCGGGCCCACAATGCTCGTATGATTTCCAGGATCGGACCGTCCAAGGACGACGTTTTCTTGTTGCAGCAATCCACCAAGGATCATGAGGCTGGATTTTGCTCCCCGCCTCTTACTAAGGCTGCGCTGTTGCGTCGACTCAAGGGGCGCCCGTACCGCCTCATCCCACGCTGCGTAATTACTCAGTCCTCTGGTAAACAGCGCATCATTGACAACGCGGACGCGGGTGGCCAATCTGAGACGTCCTATGACTCCAACAAGCTTGTCCTTTGCAGTGCCTTGCGCCCGGGTCAGCATGCGCAGGCCATCGTGGCTCGAGTTCCCCCGGAAGACCTCGAAGAGGCCAAAGAGAGTGACTCTTTGGAATCTGGGGGGGAAGACTGGCCTGATGCTTATCGGCATTGCCCAATGAGCGAAGAGGAGTCCCTGGCTTGCTTGGTGGTATGGTGGCACCACGAATGGCAAGCACCCGCCTATCAGATCTATGCCGGGCTTCTATTTGGGCTCCCGCTGGCAGTTACATCTTTCAACCGCTACAGTCGTTTCTCCGAAGCAGCCTCTCGGAGGCTGGCCCTTACAGTGGCTTCCTCCTACTTCGACGATTTCAACCTGCTCGATTGGGCATCGTCCAAAGGCTCGGGCCAGTGGGCCGTCGGGTCAATCAACACCCTGTTAGGGACGCCGTTCGCTGCAGAAAAGCGGCAGCCTATGTCGGCACATGGCACGTTCCTGGGGCTGGATCATGACTTATCCGAGGCCCTTTCCCAAGGCTTCGTCATTTTTTGGGCGAGAGAGCGCCTATTCGACAAGATGGCTGACCTTATCGAGCAGGCTACCTCCTCCGGCTCCCTGCGAGCGGGCCTCGCATCCAAGATGTTCGGCCTTATGAACTTCTTGGAGCAAGGGATGTATGGCCGGGTAGGTTGCGGGGGGCTGGCAGCCCTCTCAGAACGCCAAAACTCACGCGAGGTTGGGCTCACGGAAGAGATCCGTGCATGCTTTCGCCTGATTTCGGCAATTCTCCGGCTCCGCCCTCACCGCCAATTCTGGATCATGCGGCCGCGGATCCAACGCTTCATAGCTGCGAGTGACGCAGCCGAAGAAGCACCTCTTTGTGGATCAGGCGGATTCCTGATCGTCTGGCAACACCCAAAGGGTCAGCTGCGCGAAGGGTTTGTCGCAGAGTCGCCAGCTAGCCTGTACCCCCTTTGGGGTCCAGGCGAGAAGAAAATCGCGCAACTGGAATTGAGCATGGTCCTCTATGCCCTGGTCTCTCGACCCAGCCACTTCAGATCCAGGAGGGGTGTATGGTACATTGACAATACCGCGGCTCTTATGAGCCTCATACGTGGTCGATCAGACAACGCGGACCTCTCTCGCCTAGCCCAATTGATCCATCTTTGCCTTTTCTGCTTCAAGACATGGGTCTACTGGGAATGGGTTCCGTCCAAATCCAACTGGAGTGACTCCATTAGCCGCGAGGGCGCGGATGATGTGTGGCATCAGTCGCACCAGTTTTCCATCTTTCGTGCTCATTTCCCTCATGAGCTGTGGGCGCTGCCGCTGGAGGCGGTAGTGGTGGTCCTGGAGTTTCTCTAGTGTAGTGCATTGGGAGAGTGCTTTGGGAACGGTTGGGTCAGATTCGTACAGACAATTGTACCGAATCTCGGCTAACGTTTCTGTGTGGGACCCGGGTGTTTCCCGGTTCTACCAATGCATTACCCTCTGTGTTCCAGAGGCTTACTAGCGAAACATTGGACTCTGCCATCCGCTTGAATGAAAGGGAAAACAGTGGAGCGCGATGGTCACCAGTACGGTCAACAGAAATGTGTCCATGCATTGAGTTTGGCAGGCTTGGGTGTGCATGTTTCATTTCTGAGGAACCTTGTACCTGATTGCAATTTTTGGCTTAAGCTTCAGCTAGAGCCAAACCTGGCAAGCTGGTACCTCCTTTTCTCCCACCCGCCCGCCCTGGGTTGCCGACCTCCGGTGGAGTCGTCTGTAACCTAGGTTTGTACCGTTCTCCTCTTTTAAGGTACAGGGGCAGTATGTGTGACATACGTCCGTTGCGGGACAGAAATGTATAAATATGTGTAGTTTCATCATCTTCAAAATTTTCCGCAAAAGTGTGAATGGTGGGGTCAACTCATAGTCAGTGTGTGTGTGTGTGTGTGTATGCGTGTGTTTCCTTTTGCTGCAGGACCACATCATCCACAATGCCAGCGTTAGTCTTCTTTGGAGTTCGCTTGGAAAGCATGCTGTGGCGTGCAACTCGGGCAGCATGGAGCGCTACTTCTTTCAAATTGTTTGATGTTGCGACTCGCATTTCTTGATGTTTTAAAGTTACTGTTTGCCTCTTCCTGTTTCTGTCGGGAGCCAACAGCCTGCAATGTGCACGGTCCTGGGCACTTTGTGCCAAGGCTCTCTTGAGCAAACCACTTTGGTGAATTTTGCGAGCAATGGTGATGCGGTTCTGAGCTGCTGTGATGCGGCAAAGATTCTCGGATTTGTTTATTGTTCTGTCTCCCCTTCGAGGCTTGTGCTTCTGCATTCAGTGTAGCGGCAGGACTACTTGTTCGGGCTGCGCGGAAATTTCCGGATCCAGCTGCATCAGCTGTGCTGGTGGATGCTTGTCTTCAACCCTGTGTCTCATTGCAGCCAGCTTGGCTGGACATGCATGCGCAAGTGGGGACTGGGTCTTTAGAGCGCGAGCTGACCGCATCTCAGCTAAGGATTTCGGAAAGGGCCCGATGGATGCATTGCCTGTCGCGACATTCCAGGCTTCGTGGATCCTTCTGGCCACACATGCGCGGACTATGTGGCCGGCTAGCTGGAAGTTTTAGCAGGTAGGCCGATGCGTTCTTTTGGAGACCGGGGTAATTTGACTTTCGCCAAGGCCCAGGGGATCTGCCAGGATGGCAGCAAAAACCCGTCTGATTTCAACGCGAACATTGCGGCTCATGTCGCCATGGCAGACTACAAATACAACGGCTACTCGGTTCTGGTGTTTGCGAGTTGTAGCCTGACTTTGCTGGGCTCTGTTTTGCACAGCTTCCAGGGCTCAGCGCTGTCGATGCTTGCTGTGCTTGCGGCGGTGGTCTACAGACAAGCACTCCCTTCACATACTCGGCAAACCTCCGATCTTTTGTTCTTGGTGCCGCGATGAAGGACATTTTGGTGAATGCAGGCGTTTTTTCACGGGTTCCATGCTGCGGTCGGAACTGCTTTGGCTGCGCAGGACCAGCCCCACCCGCGTACCGCTTCCAGCTACCGGGTGGCTGGCGTTCTGGAAGGCTCAGGATGTGATTTGCACTCGATTGGTTTGAGCCTCAATGCTGAGACGGGCGAAATCTCGGGCACCCCCACGGCAGAGGAACCTGTGGAGGTGGAGTGTGTCATCCAAGCGGTGCAGGACGAGTCTAAGGGCTTGATTGAAAACAGCAGTGCTACTCGCAGGTGAGCAGCAGGTTTGATTTGGGGCGCTTAAATTTCTCCAAATTCTATCCTTTTGTAAGTCGCTGAGCATTCGCAGCACTCGTGTCGCCTCTGCCAGCCTCCAAGGTCAAGATTAGTTTGCAGCACTTCGCCTATGCGGGGAAACTTCTTCCTTTTCCAACAGACAGCCCCTACTTGCCCCGTACATCCAGCAGTACCTACAGCAACTGGCGTGTGGCATGTACACCACACGCTCCGTGGCTGACGATCGATCAGCAAACGGGGGCCCTTTCATCATCAAATATTGGAGCATCCCGGCTTTTCAAGACTGGCGTCAGCTTACAATTTTGGTGCACTGTTCTCTGTGCGAAATCGTGGCACCTTTAGATTGAAGCCTTTGAAGCCAAGGCCCCCGATGCCGCTTTTTGCACCGTCACCGCGTACAACGGAACAGCAGACCTGACGCTGCCCTTGCCCGTCGTGGCGCCCCGGCAGTGGACGGCCATGGACCTGCGACAAGTGATTGCGGAGGACAAGAAGGCGGCTCAGCTCGGGGCGACAAGTCATGTCAATCCGCTTCAAGACTTTGAAGTGGCTGGATGATGGATGACCCAAAGCTGAGGTGTCCGTCGGATCGGTCTTGGACCTTGTGGCGGGACGAGCAGTGCCTCCGGTGGCTGTAGCATCTGCAGACGGTGTCTCGGTGGAGGAATTGTGCGAGTGCACAATAGAGCGCAATTTGTGTGATTGCCATCACTGCTGGCAAGGCATGGCATGAAGACCTGAGGCTCCGACCATCTGACTCCGCCGGTGGTCTTTTATGCTGCGTGCGATGCGGATGGGGAGCACGTTTCCTTCGACGTGACGACAGGCAGTTCAGCAAAAGACTTCCGACACGTCGTCACCAATGCGGCTGCCACCGCCATCGCCCTGTGTGAGTCTCGAATCCTTGATGTGAAGCAGGCGACGTCCTGGTGCGGGGCCATGTGGCTTTTCGTCTGGAGATGCTGAGCGGTGAGTTCACAGGCAACATCGAGTGGGCGGGGTTGCAGCTGCATATCTGCCATCTGCGAGCACTGCGGTGCAGTGAGAGATGTACTCGCTACAGCTCCCGAGGCATCCCTGATATCGGAGTCCTGGGTAGCTGCGGAGCCTCCTCTCGCTGCAAAGTTCAACTCCAGCAGCTTGCTCCGAGAATTTCCTGTTCAAGCAATCGAGAGCCTGTGTTGAACGTGCTCGAACTTCGGGGATCTGTGTCCTTGTCACTCGCACGAGCTTCGCTTGATCCTTCTTGGCTACAGATGACGGTGACGGTTGCCGAGGTGCACGATTTTCGGGGAGCTTGCCTATCAACCCCCTGGATCACTGCCCAAGTTTCTCAAGCACAGCATCACCGCACGAATCTCAGAGACAATTTGAGTTCATGCAGCTTCTGTTCCCCTTCACCGCCAACTCAGGTGGTAATCCGCGATGACACTTGCTGGCAGCATGTGTCAGGTCCCGAGAAAACCTGGGCTCGCCTTTGGCAGCTGGAAGGCAAAGAGCGAGAGCAGCAGCCGTGGCTGTCGTGGGAGTCGCGCGCTTTTGCGCGCGCGCGTCTTCCGCCAGGAAGTGGAACCTGTCGCAGTCGTTGCGGGGTGCCCGGGGTGTGCTGAGAGCTCCCTAGACAGTCTGGACTTAAGAAGTGCAAGTCTCAGAGCAAAGCCGAGCCGAGGCCGGGCTTCGGCCGGTTGCTCTGCATACCAAGAGGAGGAGACTCGGAGAGGTGGCTTCAGACTCGCCCTTAAGGGAGAGGGAGCCTCCTTTTTTTGTCTGTCGCTGCAGGAGGATGGGGAGCCCTTGTCCAGCTTTGCTGAGAATAACTTTAACGACGCCAGGCGGCAGCGCGGCATCGGTGTACCTTCGAAGATCCCCCCCAAAGCAATGGCAGCATCATTGGATGAGTACAGGAGCACGAGGAGAGGAGAATATCTGCGTCAATATCTGACAGAACAAATCAACTCTCAAAGGGATACGCGCTGCAGAATGCCTCACCCGAATCAGCCTTTGCATATCCTGTGGGGGGAGTAAAAAGTTGAGTCGAGGAGGGAGATAAGCCATCGCAAAATTTCGCAACTTCACATCGAGGGTAGAGGAACGACGACTACAGTTCCCCGAAAAGTCAATAAACACAGGAAATCCCTGCCGAATCCTTTCGAAAGTGCAACTCTTCGTGCACATTGTGCGGGCTCAGTGCTGCAAGGACCGTGGAAACACCGACGACCAAGACACAAGCAAGACTTACGAGTACACGCTGAGCAACGGCTACAAATGCTCTTTGTCGGGCTGGACACACACCCGGGGCTACCAGAGCGGGTACTTGCGGAACGTTGCCGGCAGTGGAATGGCCGTTGTTTCTGGTCTAGAGCCGGGCGTGCTCTACGCCTGGAAAATATACCAATATGGGACGAATTCGAGGCTTGGATGCACTGCTATGGGCTTTCGAAGAAGCTGTCGCCGTTTGCCAGGTTTGCCGGCACGAATCCATTGCGCGTCAACGGCGAAAGTTTCGGCTCGACAACCGCCTGGCCAAGTGCAGATGCAACGAAGACAGGCCGAGGGCCTTCCAGCCTTCCTTGTTTTTGCTGATGCGACCTTCGTCGAAGTGTGTTGGAGGCTTCACACGAGCCACTGCAGCAGGTCGAAGCCTCAGCTTAGGTCACATGACATAGGTCCATTCCCAGTAGCAGCAACAGCCCTGGGGCGTATTCAAAAGCATGCAACATCATCAGATTGCAACAAGGACTGTTCTTCACTAGGTCTTAGACCCTTGTACAGTGCAGCTATACACAGCCGTCTTGGCCCTAAACCGTAGGGCCCTTGAGTCACTGCATTGCAGTCGCTTTTAGATACTGGTCGCGGAGGCCTCCGGTTCGACACCATTCCCCGCAGGGCCTCGCGTGAGGGCCGACGGCGCCTTTCCCTTGGGCCGACGGTGCCCCACCACTTCCGTGTGCTTTGCAGTGCCCCGCTGCACCTGGCGTCCGGCCACTTTGGCCTCGACGCCTGCGTGGCCATTTTGCAAGCTGCGCAGCGGTTAGTCTCAGAGTGGCGAGAAAGTCTGCAGCTCCTGGCGAAAGAACCCAAAGGGCAATTGATTGCTTCGCCAGGGGCTCTGGACTGAAAGCGAGCCAGAAGCAAGCCTTTTGGGCAGGCATTTTCTCAGGAAGCATCCGACTTCGAAAGCCGTTTGGAGGCTCAGGCAGGGTTTGCAAAAGGAAGCCCAGGGTTTGTCTTGGAGTCGGCCGTCGTGCCAGTTTTGTGGGGCAACCGCACAGCATGGTGGCTTTGCAGCGCAGATGTGACGACGTGCACGGGACACAGAATGAAGGTGAGCTTCCCAACCGTCTCTTCACCATGTCTCCGAGACCCAATCCTCGACCGAGATGGCGTTCTCCCTGCCACCATATACGATGTCACTGGCTCAGTGTATGGTTTGACAAGTGCCGCGCGGTTGTGGTCTTTCGAGGGAACTCGACTTCTAGCTGCAGGCTTCTGCCGTCATGCCCTCGATCGTATGTGCTTCTTGCGCTACGACAGATGGCTGCCTGGACTGCATCGACGACTTCTTGCCGACCACTTTGACTTAACGGTGCTTCGCATCCTCAAATCGATCAAGACCTCCTTCCATACCGATCGATGCTATTACTTGCAAAGGAAAGCAGCTCAGGACGGTCAAGGAGAACAGTGCTTTTATCCTCCGGGTTACACAGTCGGAAGCAGAGCTGTCGGAGTTCCGCTCCGTCTGCGGAGCACCCGAGTCGCTCGTGGAAGAAGTGCTTCCTGACGGTGCCGCTGCGGTCTCTCTAGTGAGCCGCGGCAGCGAGTCACCTTCTCTTGCAGTCATACCCGCGGAGGATGATGATGGCAGGGGTGCTGGTAGTCCAGCCCCTGCAGCCATAACCGTGGACGATGATCCGTGCATTACTTACCACGATGCACAGTTGGCACCCAGTCGATGCCCGCTTTCTGAAGAACCGCAGGCAACACGAGCAAAGCCGCCACGCGCCGCCGCCGCCACCACCACTACCACCACCTCCACCACTTCCACCGATGCTCCTGCTGCCGGTGCCACCCATGCCTCAGCTACCCGCAGTAATGCAAACACCTTTGCCGCCGCCACCACAACCACCACGACCGCCTCTGCCGTTGCCGCCGCCAACAGCCAGCAGTGTCACCAGCCCCAGCCCCAGCACCAGCACCACCGCCAGCACCAGAACCACAGAAGCGCCACCACCACAAACGGCAATGCCAGTTCCATCAGAACCACCGGAGCAAGCGTCGCCAGCAGCTGCAGCGAAAGCGCCATCGATGCCACTGCAGCAGCCATTGCCACTACTGCCGCAGCCTCCAAAGATTCCTGGCGAGATCCAAGCTTGCACTGAGTGTGGACATGGCAACAACGTGGCGCCAAAATCCTGTGAGGAATGCGGCAGCAGGCTGCCAATGCAGCAAGACAGAGGAAACATGCCGCATTTGGTGACCTTGACTTTCCACGTCAATGCTGAAGAGGTTGGACAGGCGACAGGGCACAAAATGTGCGGCTGCATGCAACACTTGGGTCACTTGGGGCCATGGATGCGGCTGCCAAATCGAGAGTTAAGAAGGAAGACGCTCCAAGAAACAGCACGTGCCAATTGAGGTTAAGCCCTGAGCCGCCGTTCTGACGAATTGCCTTCCAATACCTTCAGCACCCCAGCGCACAAGCTTTGTTTGCAAGACCCAGGATTTTTGGTAAATCTCACAACGATTTCCAGGACACCATTGCCCCCCCCAAGGCATGCGCTGGGTACCTGCAACCGCCATGTGGGCAGATGGCTTAACAAAGGTTTCTGACGGCTTCAAACAGACCTTCCGTGATTGGCTGGACAAACCGACGGTTCAGCTGAGGTCTGAAGCTTGACGATAGCAGCGACGGTGTTCCCTAAGGCCTCCTGCGAAGCCTTTGTCCTCTTGCCAACCTCGATGGCTGTGCACTTGGACGCGTTTTGCATTACGCACCCACCTTGCAGCTACGGTTCAACCGGCTGGCCCTTCCACGTTGAGAAAGCCTGGAGGCGTTTACACCCGGATCAGCGGAAACGATGAACAGCTGACCGCCTCTCCTTTGTCCGTGTGGCTTTTGACCCGACAAGAAGTTGGGAGTGTCAACATGGATTGGTTTTCACGAAATTTTGAGACCCATGTGCAGTGCAGCTGCGCGCCGCCATCTTGGCCGAAAACCAAAGGGCCCTTGCGTCACTGCAACCCCGCGCAGTAGATGGTGCTTTGCCATCGCTTTCTGATACATATGAGACACGAGAAGCCTTAGTTGTTGGGAGCTTTTGGCAGCACGAACGAGCCTAAGATGCGACGCTATCAGGTGAGATCAGCTTCGAGTTCGTCCGGAAGACGAGCCATGTCACTGTGTCTGGAATAGCCATGGGCAAGGCGGCACAACATTGCAAACCGGCAGCAGCTTGCAAGCGACATATCGCTTTTGACAGGCACCTTCGTGCTTTTCCGTGCGTTCCGTGGCTTCCGAGTCCTGCCCGGAAGCTTGTGACATGGCATCGATTCGGTGCTTGCTATGGTGCTTGTAAATGCGTCAAACCGCACCCAATAACAAGTTCGAATGATGCCTTGAGGGCGCCCTTCGACGCCGAGGCTTCTGTGACGGGGGGAAAATGTGCAAGGGATGGTGCGCTCAAGAGGCTTGGATGCACGAAGGGGGGCCGCACGCTGTTGCCCCCCGTGCTTCCGTAGTTTGTATGCATTTCTCAGGCTGGGACTTGCCAGACTTCTGCACCCAATTGGGGACTTGACTGCCGTGGTTGTGGCGTCGCAAAGTTTTCCAGCGCATGGGTTCGCATCAGAGACTGTGACTTGACTGACTGCTTGGACCTTCGGGCCAGGAGTTTCGATGTTTCGTGTTTTGGGTTTATTTTGGATTCGACGTCCAGCACGTCGTTCACGTTTGCCGATGGCCGAGGTGACGCCCAGAGCAATTGTCTTTCCGTGTCAAAGAAGGGCGGTGGGGCAGCATTCTTGGACGGCGTCTACTGCCCAGCCAGTGATGGCGAGCCGCCTGGAAGTGCAAGAAAGTACTTGCAGCAGAAAGAAGAGCTAACGCAGTGATTCGAAATTTCCGATTGTGCGTTCTAGCCCCAGGAAAGATGGCTTGCTCCCCTACTACGCAAAACCAGGCCTCGGAGCATGCAGCCAGCCTTGGGCAGATGGAATCTGGAGTGCTGGGTTTATTCCGCTGGGCAGATGGCTTGACCTTTGCTTCAGTTTTGCTGAGCTCGCAAACGCAAGATCTTCAGAACCTGTTGCCTTGCAATCTGAGCCTGTCTCACTTTTCCTAAGCAGTGTGTCAACATGTTCAGCAGTGCGCTCTTGGTGTCGTTCAATGCGGCAAACCAAACACTCGCTGCCTCCGTTTTGCATTTTGACGGCGACGTCGTGCTCTGACCTCGGCCGTGTGTGCTTCTTGGGGCTTGAATCGCTCGTCACGAAGCCTCGCAGGGACAGTGGTGCGGACATCTCGCACTCAGGGACAGTTTCGCTTCGTGCATCTCTACGGATGGTTCGCGGTTGAATGCTCTGTTGGCTTGTCTTATGCTGCCTGGGCTCAGGGTCCTTGCATAAAGATTCCCTTGCACGGTCTTTGAGCCTTCCAGACTGCTCGCTGCGCGGAACAGGTGAGGTGCAAGAAGCCACCTTGTACCTTTCGCCTTGGCAGCCTTCGAGAGAGACGCAGCAGGGTTGTCCAACAGGCTCGCGACTTGCGACAACAAGGGAACTCTTGAAGCTTTTGCATATCCTATATAACAGGATGCCTCGAATGCATCAGGCTGAAGGTTTGAAGGATCCACGCATCACATGATATGTCGGGTGAAAGAATAGGAAGGGCTGAGCTTGTTCGGGGGGACTCCCACTGCCCTGGGCATCTGCAAAGACTCATCGGGACGTTGATGCAACACCCGATGTGCTTGTCGTGATGCGGCAGGTACGGGTTGGGTGATCCGGCGGGCAAGTTCTCTTGACTTCTTTCAGGGCGAGTACGTGGAGCTGCGTGGAGACGTGCTGGCCTGCTTCCACTCTCTGGGCGAACTGGCCTCGCATTGGACTGCCCCCCTCCACACACACCTACACATACTTTGGCTGATGTATGTCGCCAGCTGAAAATTGTTTTGGAAGAAGTGGTAGGGTTACAAGTCCATGGATCATGCAGAGTGTCCTATCCGGCCCGCGACACGCATGCGGAATAACGTCATCAGCAAGGACGAATATTATTCACATGACAGGTTCTGTCAGCAGCAAACGAACAGAACCAATGCACAACAAGGACGATAGGTGGTCGTTACGTTCATCATATTACCGCAGGTACACCGACTTGATCAGAGATTGGGAGCTTCATTGGGTGCAGTCCGAAGGTGTTCATGTTTCGCCAACATGTCCATTGGCATCCGGCCCCCCGCCCCCCAATGTAAACAACAAACAAACAAACAACCAAGCAAACAGCACAAACAACAAGGAAAACAATCAAACACTGCGAAAGTACAGCGTACCAGACTAGCACACAAACTACTCTAAAGTAGAAGTGCGCAACTATTTCAACTGCGAGCCCAAGTAGCCCTGAAGTTCGGAAGGCCTTTCTCTGCATGCACAAAGTGCTCCATGTGCTTGAGCCAAACGTAAGTTGGCAAAGTCTGAAGACGGAGAACGTATTATTTTCACACGTCTCTTGCGACTAAAGTACAATACTTTACCTTTCACAAATAAAGCATACATAACAGATAAAGCATACATAACAGGTGAGAGAAATGCGAAAGCATGCCAACGATTCGTCAAAGATGCTGCAAAAGTGGTGTTTTGCGTCATGCGCCAAAATTTTGCATGATGCCTGTATCATCCTGTATCTACAACATTCAATAGTTGCCTTCGAAGAAAGAAAAGTTCGTTGGGCAAATTCGTGATCGTTGTGCACGTGGTGGAAAGTCATTGCGTATGTCGGCCCATTTCAGTGCAGCGACAAGGTTGCTTGCAGCAATGCCCAAGCATGGATGGCACCAAAGTGCAGCATGCCGAAAAGTGGCATCCTTGTGACCAGCCAAAGTATTGGCAAAAGTGTCGCAGAACAAGCATACCGGATAGAAAGTGTCCAAGGCTATGCAGAGCCCAAAATTTTCACGAAGTTGCCTGCCGATCACGGTCGGGCGGGGTGCTGCCAGGTGTTGGGAAGTACACACCCCGGCGGCACCCACCCTTCCCAGTCATATTGCTGCAAAGTACCATGTAACTCGGCCAACATGTGAATGTGCATCTAGAGAAAGCGGATGCAGCTCGGCGTGGCAAAGTAGCGGATCAACTGGTGAACCACAATTCGACTGCTTGCCATATCCGAAAGGTGTGCTGGGGCACCACGTCTCATCTGCAAGGTCAAACCATGACGGTCGTACTGTCTTTTCCACAAGAATTCACGAGCAAAGCTATGTTCGAATTCGTAAGCCGAATGATCTGGACCAGTGCTGACGTTGTCAGCGATGTCAGCAGCTGCAACCACTTGTGCAATCAAATTCACAGCAAGAGTTCGCATGATCCGAAAAGTTCAAGAATCGAAGCAAGAAGGTTTTGGTCCTCTCGACAAGAGAGGGTGGCACCACCAACTTTAGACTTTCCGGAAACTTCCTGACAATTTCGTGAGCCGATCTCGTCCTTGCTGGGCTGTTGAGGAGAACTTTCTTCTTCGAGGAGAGGAACACAGCATGCAGTCCTTCAGCCCAGTGAAACGAGGATTCCCAGGTTTGAGTGGCTTTCCAATGTTCGTCTCTGATTTCTAGCTGCTTGAGCTCGGGTAGCACAAACAACCTTGGATCTTGCATCCATTCGCAATCGAAATGCTGCAATTGCTTGAAAGGCACCAACCGGAACGATCTTCGGATGTGTCTGGTATCTTTACTATTCTTTACTGAGATGTAAAAGAGCCTTGCGACATTTGGGTCCAAACTCGTCGACACCGTTCCCATACTACCAGCGGCTAAAAGACACCGCTGCACACGCAAGTGCAGAACGAATTGCTTAAAAACATATCGTCCTGTGGCGTCTCGTTAAGTGAATCTAGTGTCTAATTTCAAGGGCCCAAGGGCCGATGGCTTATAGTTATGCACATGAGGTCACTCTGGAAGCAAGTCCTGGAGCATCGGAGATGCCGTGTTGGACGAGGTGAAGTCGGATTTTCAGCTTACAATCCTTGACGCGAGCTATGTGGAGAATCGTGCGCAGGCTGGCGGACCCTGCAGTCATGTGTTCTCTCATGATCGTTTGTGGGGGGGCACCGCGGCGACATCCACTGTTTCGTTGCTGAGGCAGCACCAGGTGATGAAGTGCACATGGTGCCAGTCGCACGGACGTGTCTCCGCACAATTACAAACAGTCCGTGAGTCCGTGAGGCAGTGATGACTTCACACCCGGATATGTTTCCACTGGAGCACCATTCAGGGCAGTGTCAGCGTCAAGGATGTGCTGGAGCCAGTTCTTTGATGAACCCGTGGCCTAGGTGTACAAATCCGCTGGAAGAAAGGCGTGCAACCAAGAAGAAAGGCGAGAAGGACGAATTGACCAGTGAGGAGCCCGTCTGCCTTGCAGTGCTCACGGTTAGGTGCTAGATTTCACTGCAGAACTTCCATGCATCGCTAGCTTCAGATCTGTTTGACACAACAAGCACCTGCTAGTTGTTGCCACCAACGCTTGCCAGCCAGTCACGTGATGAAACCTGGCCTGACATTGTGTTTCTTCCTTTGACCCCTTACGTTGCCCTATGTCGCTTTTTCTGCCAAACCCGTGCAAGCGAGCCCGTAATTTGCGGGTATGCTCACTTCCGTTTTTCCGCTGTCAGAATCTAGTCAAAGAGTTGTGCCATCCTCACAGGCGGCGATGGGCATCTGTTGCTGCGTAGGCATACTCTGCCAAAATCCCTGCTCAACATTTGTCCTTCGGGCGGCTTGGAAATTGAGCTCCGAGTAGATTCGATCATCGTGTCGCCTCGTAGTTGGTTTTGGTGGAGATTGGAGACTGAATGAAGTGCCGACTATTTCCGACTTGTAGGAAGATTTGTGAGGCTGAACGGCTCAACTGCAACGAGCGCAGCGACCCCTCTTCCAAAGGCTTTCAAACCCTGTGGCCACCACTCACTTGTCCATTCTCCATCTGATTGCAAGTTCAGCCCACAGGAAGGGTGATGGCGTCGTCGTTTGCCAAAGGTGTAAGTTGATCGGCTTTGCGACAAGGATTCCATGTCCAAGCGCCTGAAGCTTAATGCCCCTCACCTCTTGCTGGCTTTGTAGCCAAGACTGACCTATCTTCTTGGTTGCAAATGGCAATTTTCGACATCAGCCTCCCGCAGAAAACTTCTTGAGGAAACCGCTGCATGCCCGAAAGCAAGCGGCAACCTTCATCCAAGCAGGAGGACTCGAGGAAATACGCCAAGTAGAGGAACAGCAAAAGGTCAGGGAAGGTGAAGCTGAACGTGGTGTCTATCCTCCGCTTGTCTCTTGTTCAAGCTTCGTGATTCAATATGAAACACGTACATGCTCTCCGGCAAAAGCTGAGACAGTTGCAAGCTCACTAAGAAAGGTAAAGCGCTTGGTGTCGTCGGCACAAACAGGGGCGGAGAAGGAAGGAAGCGAGGACAGGCAGAGGGGGGGGACAGCGCGCCGGAACGCGGTCACTGCGAGGCTGAAAGCTTTGAGGGTATTGAGAGGAAGGGAAACAATGGTCTCTCTGAGAGCCTCTGACTGCTTCGGCCCGCCAAACTTTGCTTCCTCGTCCACTTGTGTACGGAACTACAGTTTCTGGGCTCTACTCCGAGCTGAGCTGTGACCTGCAGAGGAGGCATTTACATTCGACGTGCCGTGCTTAGAGCAACTTCTAGCAGTTGGCGATTGCCTAACACTGCAACGTACGTCTTTGACAAGGATCCGGATGCCCCAAGCGGCCTTGGGCACTTCTACTCGCTCAACCCATGCCAGCGTGCTGCAGTTCTGTCACAGTTTAGCAGATGGACGGGGCAGCTTTTCGCCTGCGAAGCGCGATGCAATGGCGAAGGAACTGTCGGACTGTTGTGGTCAGGGCAGAGGTGTCTGTGTAGCTGCACGACTCCCTGTTTAAGGCGAGTGCTTCAGCGGAGCGTTTGGAGCAAATCCACCAGTTACGGAAACAACCTTCTCCATGAGCCTTGGAGCTACATTGTTATAGTTAGCCATAATCAACACCGTCTGAGGAAGAACATGAAAGAAAGCGCTGTTGAGTGCCAGCTTTAAGTTCAGCCCCTTGCAGCCCGTCGCTGCGTAGTCTGGAGTGCAAGTTGTAAAGCTTGCAAGCATGGCAGCAGAAGCATCAGACCAACAGATGTGGTTCGCACCTGCGTGTTCTGTTTTCATTCGCATCGCGACAGAGCGCTGAGGATGCCACCAGGCAGTGATAATGACTTGGTGCCCCCGAGCACGTTGCTGGTTCCCTGGCTTACAGTAGAGCAGTGACTCGTCAGCTTCTTTCTCGCTGGACCGCCTGCGCCTATCCATGACGAGCCACTGAGACCATGGATCGTTCCAAGAGCTGACTAGGCATGTCAGTGTTTGGAGTAGCTTTGCGTCGTTGCCGTATGCCACGGACATGGTCCCAGTCCGAAAAGATGCGGAAATATAGCAAACTTGTTGTTTTTCATCTCACAGGTTTGTCTCCATGCTTCTTGATGCCCACTGCTACATGCCGCATAGGTCTCTGGAAGCCTTTCGTGCGAACCACAGTACCTGATGCTGTCATTGGTGTCCTGGAAGCAAGCAGCATTAAGAAATCAGTCCCGCTTTCGAAGCATCAGATGCCACGTCAGCGCAAGTTCTCGTTCTTTTTGCTTTAGCCTGTCAAGCACACACTATGTTTGCATCGATGGGAGCCAGACTGAACATCGGTAGGTCGGGGTTGGCGCAACAGGACCGCTCATAGCTGGTTGCCCAGGGCCTAAATAAAGTGGCATCTGAGTGACACAAGGCTCTCCCCATCTCTAGAGCAGTCTTGGAGATCTGGCAGGATGTGAGACAGCCTGCCGAAGTGGAGATTACGACACCGCCACGGAAGCATGTGCCTTCTACTTCACGGGCTCTTACACTGACGTTTCCTAGCTGTGAGATGTACTGAGAGTATGCACATCCCATGTTCTTGGCAATGATCTGCACTTGCTGGTCTCAGGTAACCGTGTGTCGGCTGTACAGCTCTTGCGGAAGCTTGGTACAGGAGGTGAACAGCCATGGCGAGCTGTTCGGGGTTGTCAAGACGAGAGCGTGTCTCATTGCAGATCCGGAGTCGTGCCTTGTCAAGAATTCTGGACCGCTCCTGCAGTGTAGCCTCCTTCACACTCTGCTGCCGTACCATGCTGGGAATGGCAAAGCATGTGTGGCGTGGGACGTGCGATCAGGTGCAAGCCGATCAAGCGCGAAAAGTGGCTTGCTGACGGTGCTGACACTTCTGGGCAGTGCTTGTTCGAGGTGCGTTTCACGAGGGGAGCACGTGGAAAGTGTTTGCCAACTTTAGAGTATGGTAGAGATCGCAGGCTTTATGAGTTTGCGCCAGACGAGACGTTCTGAAGAAGAATTTGTTACGCTGAATCGTGCTGGCCCACGAAAGTCCAACGAAGGACCTGATCTCCCAGTGCGACGCATCTTTGATCCACGGTGGGAACGGCATCTCAGAGTGTGGTCACTGTACGCACATGCTTTTGTCCGAGCATGCTGTGTGCCTTGCTTTGCAGTAAGAGCTTCAGAGTGGTTTTCAACATGCGTGCGTCGTGTAAAGATGCTATAAACAGTTGGTTGATCAAGGCAGCTTTCAAGAATGAAGCGGCCGTTGCCATCACTGTTTCAATCCGGATCGATGATTTCCGTAGGCACGGAGCTGTGCCTTTCTGAGGGCTTTGCTCCTCTTCATGTCCATCTGGGCCAGGTTGTGACGATCGTTATGCCGGCAGCCTGACAGTAATTATAGAAGGCTCATTCTAAAGATCTGATACTGGCTATTTGAATGTCTGTGAGCTGAGCGGAGCCATCGGGCTGCGCATGGGCAACATCTAGTCACCAGTGACCAAGGCTTGAATCGATATGGAAATGACGATCCTAGGCAAAAAAGCGTCACTGCTTGTTTTGTCGGTCCATTCCTTCCAGACTCTCGGGGAATTCGGCAGCACAAGCCACGGCTAAGCGGGGGTTGGTTGACCGCCCATACGTCGAGGTCTTGCCTTCGCAGGAGATCATTTGCCAGGTGGGGTCTGCTTGCGAAGCTGCAGTCGACAGAGGGCAGAATTCGATGCTTGGCTCATTCGACAGAGGACGGCGAGTGGGTGGATCCGAAGGGCGGGCCGGGCCTTTCCGCTCTGCAGTGCGTTGCTTGTGCCCTGGCTTTGTGCGAAGCTTGGGTTTGAAGGCTTCGAAGTGCCAGGCGTGTGGAGTCTTTTGAACTTAACAGGTACATGGGGCACCGTTCGGGGTATTAGGTGAAAGGTGTGAGGTTTGCAGAGGTTTAGGGTAAAGAGTTGGGGGTCTAAATCCCTGTTAACCTTCACTTCTTGATCCGCGGTTTCGCATACGAGGAGTTCTTCTCGCTTCCTCGCGCTTCCTTCTCCTTTCCATCCCCCATCATCGCTTTTCGGCCATCCTGCCATCAGCGACATAGCTGCTTCACTGCTCGGACATGCTGGGATGTTGACATATGCATGAGCTGCGTATGCATATTCTGCTATATTCATGTGCAGAGGGCGTTGCTCCTGTCCTTCCTCTTCGTCCTCTTCGGTTCCATGGCATCGAACTTGCTAGTTTGGCATTGAATACCGTTTTGTTGCAGAGATATCTTGCCGCAGCGGTGTTCCACATGGCTTTCGCTGCCAGAAGCTTCCCAACTTCCGCACATCACACTTCTGTGCTTGTAGGCGTCCGGACCACACCGGGAAGCAAGTCCAACAGCCTCATGGACAGTCGTTGTCAGCAGCATGCTAGACCAGCTCTTATGTGCTCCTGTGCTCCTCGTACACCTTGTGCCACTGACGTCACTGCAGAGGACTTCGTCGGCGCATCGCAGCAAGAACGCTGGTGGCTGCAGAGGCTCCGGAGACCGGAGAGTTCGGAGTTCGGTCCGGTCCGGGCGTCGCAATGGGGGCTGCTTTGCGTGCTGGGCATGCCTGACTCAGTCCTGAATCTGTGTTATCCATGTTCCTGGAGCTAGTTGCAAAGAGCCCGTGTGGTTGTCCTCCAGGCACTCCGTTGAGATCCGCAGCTGGAACGATCTTTGCTTGGCGAGCGACTCGGAGCAAACGCAACGTGCGGAGTCGCCTGGTTGCATGTACAGTCGGGTCGCCGAAAGCCAAGACTTTGCGCCGAAAGTGTTTGTCTGCGACGCTCATTCAGTGCTTAATCATGTTTCCTGTTGAGGATTACCTTCACTGACAACACAGATCTACCGCCGCACGTGGCCTCTCCATCACATCGCCGCAGGCTAGGCCGAGTCAGAGAATCGAACAGAGACGACGCTGTGCGTGTACTGTAGGTCTCTACGTTGTTGATAATCTGTGGCTCCGGTTGAGAACCTTTAGTAAGGCGGCGAGCATACACAGACGAGAGCTACCGTCGACGCTTCGTGGACAGCGGCGAGAAGTATGGGAGGGTTGGCTGGAAGTCTGGCTTTGGCTTCTCGGCCACAGCCAGCACCCGTCGCGCCCGCCCGTGACCTCTGCATCACATGATCATGTTCCATTATGTTCCATGATGTTCCATGATCCTTCAGTTGCGACACCGCGAAGTCAGATCTCTGTCGCGGAGACGGCATCCTGAACGGTGCTAGCCAGGTCCAAAAGAGGCACCGTGCTTCCATAGCCAGACCCGAATTCAGCTCTTTAGGCTCGCACTCCCGAGCTGATGAAACCAGAGGTTGTCATCATGAGAGGCTCCACGCTTCTGCAGGAGGACCCATAGCAGTTGGTTGAAGAACGCTCGTGGTCGTTTACCAACACACACGGACACACAACATAATATATGTATATATATACACACACACACCAAGTGAAATACCTGCAGCTGAAATGATATGACGTGCTTCTGCATCGGCCTCTCAATAGCGATGGTAGCATGTAGGGTGATGCATGTCAATCTCCGTTGCTAGGGGAGATGCTTGTTACCAGTGAGCTGTGCTAAGTCTATGGCTGGCGGGGCACAGATCAAGATTGTCAATTCGACCAGCGGACGCAGGCCCGGACTTGAGCCACAAGCTTTGCATGACAAATGTGAGAACCGAGGTGTCCAGCGGTCTCAAGACGGGATGGAATATCAACGGAAATTGTAGGAGGAGAAGGAGAGCTTGCTCCCACGAGAAATTCGAGGACGTTCCTTCCGTCGTTCAGTCGATCCGCTATACCATCAGCGCCTCGGCACCTAATCTGTGCAGCATTCCTGCAACTGCAGGTAACCTGCAGGAATGCACTGCCCAACTTCAGGTTTCAGGGCCAGAGTCGTGGCGGACTATGCCACTGGCTGGAACTGGCCCTGGCATTATAGCAGCTCTGCGTGCGCACAGGCGTGCTGCACTTCATTTTCGAAGTTGTAAGAGCGGTCAGCGGATATATGGATGATGACCGGCAAAGACGCCGATCACTGCTTGAAAGTCACCCCAATCTGTTTTGGACATGACCCGCAATCCCCATCTTCCTGGGTATGCAAGCCGCCGAAGATGCTCAAGATGGAGTGCCAGCAATCTGAATCTGCGCTGTCGTCTGCAGTGCTTTCTTGTTTTCATGCTCGTATCACATTGCCGGGCGTCGGTCGTTTCTTTCTCCTGCATGGACCGCTAGCGAGCTCTGGAGGACCGCTGCCTCGTGAGCGTGAACTGCCCCTCGGGCCAGACCATGGTCGAGTGCGAGGCACAGACGGAGGGCCCAAAGCCCGAACTGGCTCGCTTGTTTCGTGACCAGGGGATCTTGCGGTGAGAGACATGTTGCTTTTCGAAGGGAAGCTGACCCTGACTACATGCGTAGTTGCCCCGAAACCGTTGAGCTACCTAGTTGGCCATCAATGCGACTGGGCCGGGCTTGGACCTCAGTCGCCACGAGCACCCGAGGCGGCCCCATCTTTCGGACCTTCCACTGCATCGGGTGGTGCGAAAGTGAGCGGAAGCAGCTGCCAGGCCTTGTTCCTGTAGAAGGCTTTTCCGTCTCGTTTCTGGGCTGGTGTATCCACCATCGAACATTTGAATTTGATAGCTTCATGGCTTCACTGCAAGGTCGGGCTGATTTTCAGTGGGTGTGCCCTGGTTTGCAGCACTGGCCGAGTGACTTTTGACTTGAGTGTCAAGGCCACAGGCGGGAAGCTTGGGGCCAACATCCAGCAAGGTGCCGGCCCCAAAAGGCCAGGTGCAGGTGGCTGCAGGATCAGGTGCGCCTGCACATAGCCTCTCCGCGCTAGCCTGCACTTCAGGATCGTGGAAGGAGGGGAACAAAGACAGCTGGACGTCATGGGCAAGTTGCCCTTCCGGCACTGTTTCCTGCAAGCATGCGAGGTGGAGTTCTTCATGTTAGTCCGTACGATACGTACTGCCGGGGCAGGTGTGCAGGCATGCATCTGTCACCAATGTTGCAGAATACATTCTGCAGTGTTTCTCCTGGTGCTCGTCGTCTTTTCTTTGCTGAAAACGTAGTCAGGGGCACTAATTTAGGGGGTTGAGGTGGGTGCCTGTAGGAGCGTATGCGAAAGCTCATGACAGTGCCTGACCTCTTGTGAACGTTCGTGCGAGGGGTGTAAATGCTCCGCTGGTGATGATGATGATGATGATGATGGCGTGATTGATGTTGATGTGTAGTAGTTCTGACCGCCTTACTCATGCTGCTGCAGACGGTGATGATGACGATATTGATGAATGTGATGATGGTGTTGTGCTTGTTGTTGATGGTGGAAGTGACTGACGCGCATGGTGATGATGTTGAATGTGGTGATGATGACGCCGGTGACGGTGATAATGGTGATGGTGTGCATGAGCTCACTGACCCCACCTTGACGACGGCTTCCTTTCTTTGCTTTGCCGTGCAGGGCAGCAGCCCTGCTCCCTGCAAAGCGCCCCAACCGTGTGGCTAAAGGTCGCCGTGACGCCCGCGGGCCTGTATGCGGGAAACACTTTCGCGGGCTACGACACGGAGTACTACCTCAAAATGATGGGCGATCGACGACGCCGACTTTCCTATCACACCAAGCTATGCCCTGCAGGGCAGTTCCTGAAGTATATCAAGACGTGTGTTCCTCGGCTATATCTCACATACGAGAGACGCGTGGTTTTGTGGCTGAAGTACTGTCAAGAAAAGCAGGGCTGCCTTTGCAACACTGTCGGACTGCTGACATGAAGCTTGTCAGCAGGATAAATGCCCGGGCATGTTCACGAAATCAATGTCCAGGCTGCCGGCAAGTTCGACTCGATGGAATTTACTTATTGCACAAGTGGTCATCGCATCGATTCGAGTATGAAACAGGGTTGTGAGTCACTTGCCAGCATCAAGTCGGAGCAACGCTTGCCCACGCCGCAGTGGACGGCAGCAAGGCAGTTCCAACAGTGTGGGCAGAAAGCCGATATAGCCTTACAGACCTCAATTCATGAAGAAAAAGTTGCACCACGAACTGTTTCTGAAACAGTTTTTTCGGGCAGTGTAAATTCGGTTCAAAAGACTCACGCTGCAGCGGCGTCCAACTCTGTCCTGTGCCAGTCAAAGACGAAGACGACGGCGAGTTGAGGTGCCAGGACCTCAGAAGGTGCGAGAGGTGCGATGGCCAAAGGGTTTGCAGAGCACTGATCGTGTTTCTTTCCTGACCTGCGGTTGAAGTAAGCTCGGGTTGTATACATAATTTTGTTTTGCTGTCTTGGCATTGTCATGAAGCGCACGAGTACACAAACACTCGGAACAGTTTGTTTGCTGGGTCTGTCGTTCCGCAAGTATAGCCCAAGAACCCAAGAAGTATATCAGAAGTGGTTTGATCAGAAGTTTGTGTTTATCGCGGTCTAGGCTCAGAGACAGCCATGACGTACTCCCTTGTGAGGCATGCGCACGTGCAGTACGACAATATCGCCGGCACGCGGAGAGTCACAGGCCAGGAGCGAAGCAGCGCGAGTCAAAGCGAGCTCCGTCCGTGTTTGCCAGGACAGGAGCGGGGCAATGCGGACAAGGTCTGCTTTGAAGGTGGCACTTGCCGGGGTGACACAGCTGCAAGTTCCACAAGCAATTCGCGAAATCTTTCACGAGCAGTATGGGAGCATCACATCGCATGGCACCGCCATGATAAGCATCATCATCCATCCAGGACCGGTGCTCGAATTTGCGCTTTGACTAGTGACTAGGCACTGATATCAGTTCGGGATGCTGGACTGGCGTACCTGCTTCGGTTGTGACGTCGTGTAATTCATCCGCTGGCTGTGCATTGATGATACTTGCTGCTAGTATACTGACTTCATCCAATCTGAAAGTTTGTCATGGCATCGAGGCTAAGCCTAAAACCCTGTGAGGAATGATTTGATGAGACCTGGCGACACTTTGTCTCAAGTGTGTCAAACGTCAAACGTGGGTGCGTGTGTGTACACGCATGGACCTGGCGACTGTCTGTGAGAGTTTTTTCAGGAAAGTGCAAGGGCAGGGGAACTTGACTGGCCTGGTGCAACGAAGCTCCAGTCAGATTGCCAGGATAGTATGAGGTTCGATAAACCTCATGTACTTGCTCGGCCGCCCAAAGCATCCTCAATGCTCTTGATTCGTGAAGTCATCGGCGCAGTTGCTGCAACCTGTCTTCGTGTTGTCGTGTCGGTCACTCGTCGCTGTCATTCGTACCGAGCCAAAGTTTGCAGCGTGGGACAAACGCCCAAGCCCGTGATAGCGGATGACGACGCCAACGCTGCCAGTCTGAAAGTCACCATCCATCGGGAATTTTTGCAGTAAGGTGACCTGGGCTCACAGTGAGCTTCATAGAGATCATCAACGTGGCAAACGCAAGGAGCTGTGCTGATCTTGCAAACGTCAGAGTGTAGAGCCGTGATTATTCGGGGGGTTGGGATGGGGGCCCAGGCAACGCAACGCATCTGGTAAGTCCGTTTCTTGTTGTCTGCTTCCTCCGTGTTGTTCTAGTTTCTCCCGTTTTTACCACCAAGTTGAGCGACTGTGGCAGCCGTGGGCTTGTATGTGTGTGTGCGTGGGTGTGTGTAGACGTCTGCGAGAGTTTTTGTCAGGATAGTGCAAGGGCACCCGGGCACTTGACTGGCCTCCAGTCAGGTTCCCAGGATGCGAGGTTTGATCAACCTCACGTACCTCTTCGCCCGCCCAAAGCACCCTGAAGGCTGTTGCTTCCGTCGTTGGCCGATTTGTGAGAATCAAGCTGCACAGTTGCTGCATTCTGTCGTCGTCTTGTTCGGTCGGTCACTCGCCGGAGTCATTCGTGCCGAGCCAAAGTGTGCGCGCGCGCGCGCGCGTGTGTATGCGTGTGTGCGCGTGTGCCAACCCCTTCGCCAAAGGGGTCTCGTGTAGTTGTGAACCTATTCCAACAGAGGTTTCGAGCAATTGTGAGCATGCCGAAGCAGAGGAAGTGTCATGCGCAGTTGTGAGTTCACCGAAGCAAGGGGCAGCAGGGAGGCCACAATTCTGCTGCCGACAGCTCTGGGCATTCCGTGAAGCAGATTGGGATGCCAGTTTGCGCACCTGCAGTTTACATATTTGTGACATTGTCATACTCGGTACGCAGTACATGGTGCATATTCGCTGCTGCCTTGTGAGTGCGTAAATGATCCGAATTCGCATGTTTAGGACAGTCATGTCTGTGATCCCGATTCTGAATACCTGGTTCACAATGACTGACTTGAGACCTGCGACACATTTTTTCAAGCGTGTGTGTGTGCGTGTTCGTACAGTACGATGCTTCAGCAAATGCCAACCGCCCAGCAAAAGCTGGAGACAAGTCTCTGGCAAAACCCTCCGGTGGCCTTGCTGTTACGATCTGAGTGGAGCACTTGCCTAGGGTTACTCGGTGCTGGACAGGCAAGAAATCGGGTTATAGGGCCGGTGTCGTCCGTAGAGCTTGGCTACAGTAGCTCGTTTGCGTTTGGAGACAGCCACGTGTTGAAAGGCACCACCAATTCAGATTATTATTCGGAAACCTGCGGCGACAGAGGCCTCCTTGCAGGCCACCCGACTGCAAGTTTTGCTCTTGGCCCCAGAGCTTTCGTGTCCAGTGGCATCATGCAGTTCTCGGGAAACGTTGATGTCGTTTGTCTGTGCAGGCTGGAGAGAATTTGACCGGCGCAGGTCTGTTCAGTGGATATGTCGCGAATTGAAGCCGGTAGTGTCTCTTGGCGAAAGAGTCTCAGTCGGACATGACGGTGTGACTTGTATTGCTGTTGTGAAGCAGCTTGGGAGAAGCGACTTTCTTCGTCCCATGCCCACGGAGTTTTGTTTGGCGCGAACTAGGCGAAGTCCATGTCTGATGTCCTTGCTTTTACAACGATTGTATGTGTCATGTTGGCACGAAGCCTCAGCTTCCGATGGGCCGATGGGAGACTGTGCACGGCCTGGTGCATCCTGACAGACTCCGCCTTAGGCTGTACGGCCTACTCTGCTTCGCTCCCATGTGCCGACGGTGTCAAGGATTTTCAACGTACAAGCGTAATCAGCGATCCTTCTTTATACTTGTGGTGCTCGATGCTCTAGTACTCTATTGCATGCTGGGCGGCCAACTGTTGTGCGAACCCAAAATCACATCTCCGAGGGCCAAACCCCTCGAAGCATCACCTCAGTGTGTGCAACACGGAAAATCCACAGCTGTCGTAAGTATTAAAGGTGGACGGGCAAGGACTCGCTCGTTATTGCAAGCAAAATCAAACTTTGTGCAGCAGGGAGACGCTTGTATGAAGCCGGACCGGTCCAACTCTTTCCAAGGAAGGTGTTTTTGCGTGCCATGCTGGCGGAGCAAGTTTTCACCATTGGATCCGGACACGAGGAACGTTCATGGTCAGCCATGGTGCAATCCCTGTGACAAGCTCAACCCGTGAAGCCCCCGACGACTACTTTCCATGGAAGCATGTTACCGGTCACAGTTCCTAGCCATCCCTGCGCCCTGGGTCGCACACCTGAACTCCCCCTGGCATGGTACCGGGCATCTGCCCGGCATGACGTGCACGCTCCACCACGAAAAGGGATCAACATGGATCAGCACTGGTGGCATTCCCCTTCAACCTCGCACGGTGCGGCTCGCGATGGCCTATGGCTGCCAAAGCCCATCTGAAAGCCATACCGGATTCAGCACCTTTTCACCAAACTGTGCACTTTTTGGTGCTGTGACTCCTGTTGAAATCCATCCTTTTGTGGAGATGGTTGATGCATCATGGTTCCGCAGCCCTGCCGATGCGGAGGCGTTGGGCTCAGAACCTGCCGGACAGAACCCGTAGTTGGAGGAAGAAGACAAGGTGGAGAGACCCAATCACCGGTTCCCTCGTCCCATTCTCCAGCCTGTAACCCGACATGGCTTGCAGAGGCGGAGCAACGCAGGCTCCCGTATCAATGTGAAACGAGACGGGCCCAAACAGGGACGAGGAACGCCCGCCCCTTGCCCCCGAAGCTTTTGTCACGTCTTGATTTGTGCACCAATCTTTTGGGTTTGACATTTAGGGCTCAGGGTTGTTCAGGGTTTTAAGGACGGGTTCAGCATCGAGGGACACGGTTTAAGGTTTGGGTTGGGCGAGGGTTGGGCCGAGCTGAAAAAGTTGGACGACCGAGAGTGTGCGTCAGTGGTCCCCAGAATGTGCTTCAGCCTTTGCTGTCAGCGTTGGTGGTCAGGCCGAGCGATGTCGCTGACAGACAAAGTAGCCAAGACAAGACAGCTTTGGTGCGGCAGTTTCAGAAGCATAGACAGAGTCTTATGCCGACCGTGCATTCTTGTACTTATCAGGAAGAGCTTCGAATGCTCGTCTAGCGGGTGCAAAGCTGAGTGTGCCTTGTCTGCAGTTTGAGCTTGAACTTTGTGCAGATGTTTTGAGCTCTCGTATCTTTCTCCGTCTCTGTGTCTAGATTTTTACAGCAATACTCATGCATCCCAGCCTTCCCCCAAACCCCTGCACCCCCCCCTTCTGAACCCACGTCCGGTCGACTGTTTTGGGGTTTGGAGGTAGCGGGTTGAGTTGACGTTGTAACCCTGTGTTGCCCATGTGTTCCATCTCACCATCCTGTGGTTTCGGTGGTTTCCTTCTGTTATCCCGCGTCACAACATGGTTGTGCTGGGGGGACCCCCGGATGCGGGTTCATGTCTGGGAGGGTAGGTAGGTAGGCATGTAACAAGGTCTATGTCTATGTCCAGGGCTTTCATTTCGACGTTGGGACGTGGGAGGGTCTTTCTGAAAGAGGTCCTGGCAAGCAGCAGAACGCCCGGTTTATTGCCGTAATGTGCAGCCTGTGTAGAAGTTGCATGCAACATGATCCCGACTCTAAGGTGCTAACGACAAGTGCCAGATCAGACCCAACTGCATCCAAGCTTCATCTTCTCAAGTGACTGATGGGCCCTCCAGAAAGTCAAGCGGTGCCAACCAATGGACGGCATGGTCTGATGCAGGGCTGCACTATATATGCAGTGCAGCTTTCTTTTGCTTTGGCCTGGCTCCACCAACGAATTGCTCCTTTTCCTACGTCCACGTACTTGCCTCAGGAATGCCCATCGGGCTACAAGGTGCAGGGGGATGTGCCGTTAGCAAAAGCGCTGAACTGTTCCCTACAGGAATGAACTCAAACCTTTGTGATGTAAATGAAGGCCGCAGGGCTGCGATATATGCAAATCGATGGAGACATCAGAGGCGGGAGAAGCCCTGGTGGCAGCCACTTCCACTGCAGTAAGCTGTCGCACAGTGCTTTCGCTTTTGGCAGCTACAGTTGGGTTGGCAAGTGTACCAGCAAGGCGTGCATCAAATTGACTGCTCCAGTACAGGGTGCAGGGCAATGAGCAGGGGCCAGAGGATTACCGTCAAGGCAGCATGTGTCCAACATGCTGAAGTGACGGCGGGAACCTTGATCGACAAGAACCTCGGTTCAGGGTATACCTCCAAGTCGACCTGTCCGAGTGGCTTCAATCCAATTGGTATCAGAAACTTGGACTCCACTGAACTTTACGACGCTGTGCGAAAGTGGTGCCTCTTCAGCTAGTGCAGCAGTTCTTTTACGTTTTGTGTCTCTGGAGTGGAGACAAGATGGGATACGTGGAGAGCCATGAGCATGACATGCTACAGGCATTGCGACTCCTCCGGATGCATGGTGGAATGCAACGGAGTCGGGCGATGCAAAGTTCGGGCTCTGTGTCTCTCAGCAATGACACGGGCACGTGTGAGGTGTTCAACCAGCCACAAGAGCCTGGTGATCAAGAGTTCAACAGGGCCAGACTCCAGATCTGCTCCGGCGTGTCCAGCAACACACCAAAGCGTGAGGTGCCTTTGCATCTCAGACAGCTCCTTGGCTGAAAACGTCCCCAGCATCCACCTAAACTCCAAACACCGGCTTCCCCTTTTCAGGTGGCAGGTGTTCGAGCTCCAACGGCGTGGCTGGTGACAGCAGCTGCACCGTGGATTTTGGCCGAAGACGCCGGCGTCGTCGCAGAAGTCACACCCCCCTGGAAACGGTCTCGCGCATTTGTGCGCAGGGTGAAGCCAAGCTCAGAGTGTGGCTTGGCAAATTCAGACAGTATTCACTCGTCGCTCTGGCTTCCCTGCGCTTCTGGAACTGCTAAAGCGGCGTTTCAGAAGCTCAGGTCCTTGGGGACGCAATCTACGGAATTGCAGGACAGGGCAATTCGAGTGGGATAGCACTACCCGGAAGCGGCAGAAGTGGGAGAAGCAGCATGCAGCGGACTCGTTTGTAAGCCAGCAGAGACTTCATTCCGTTGCATCAGTACGATAGGAGGAGTGGAAACTTAAACCCATACTCTTCGCGTCGCGGTGAGTGCAGCGAAGCCCCCTTCTCTGTCGGGCCGGTGTCCAAGCCCTTGTTTCTCAAAGCTTCAAGCAGTTTCGCTGTTCCACGCTCTTGTTGCAGGATCTCCGGCATGACTACACCAGCAAGACAGTGCAGTTCACGGCACCGGAGTCAGGCAACGTGCGCCTGAAGTTCGAAGAGAGGTTACGTCGTAATGCCTGGGCCTCGGAAGCCTTCTGTAAAGTCAGGTTGCCGTCCTTGTTTATGTGTTTTCATGAACGGAATGTGAGCGGCACCACAGGAAGCCGGGGCAGATACAGATTCTGGATCAGATGATGTGGGCGGGGTCTGTTGTCAGATAGCCGAGGCCAGGTTGTTCTTCGAGGATGTCAGCATCACAGACTCCGAATCTGATATGGGAAAGCAGAGCTTGATGATTGACCCGAGTAATGCGCCCTGCCAGAGCTACCACTGTGACTGCAAAGCCGGGTTTTCCCTTGAAAGCCCTGGAAAGCCCAGAGCCCAGGTTTGTGCAGGATCGCGCTGGGAGATCGAAATGCCGGCAACCGATGCCGGAGTTCTTGGCTGCATTGCCAACACGTTGAACAGCTCTGTTGTAGGGATAGAATTGGAAATTTGTGCCTACGTTTGAAGCAGACCACTTTCTCTGTGCCTTCCTCCTTGTCCTCGACTGTCCCTGCCTACCCTGTGCACACCAAGCAGCTGCCAAGGAACACCGTATCAGGTGACGATTACGTACGGAGACAGTCGACGAGCAGTGGACACTTCGACATGTACGCCGCTTTTACGCACACGTTCGGGAACCTTGCGCTTGTCGTCGCCTGCCCTCAACGTCCCGGCGCCCAGTCTCTCCAGTCGCGACCCGGTTTCCCAAGGATCGGGACGGAGGGACGCATGAAAGATGCATCCCACCCAGACGGTACCATTGTGCAAAATACGTTCGCCACCGTGACGAAGCCGGTAATCATCTACGGCAGCGGCGGTGCCGTGACATCGATAAGCGCACAGCGGAAGAGAGTCTTTCGATATGCCAGGGTCGTCATCAGTCCTATCCACCCGAGAATGCTGCAGGCAAAGGGAAGCTGGCCTTCTCAGGGGAGCTTTCGGCAGGCTGCTCTGGAATCAACAAGCAGCTTAGTTGCGAGGAAAGTATATCAAAAGGGTGTACATATGCTTGGACTCTCATGTACTTGTACAGTAACTAATACATATATGTATATGATATGTATATATACGGTGAGAATTTTAAAACATGTGGGGAGCGGCAACCCAAGATCCAAACAGAGGTAGTATGAGACACCTGTTTTAATCCGTATGTTTTAGCTCCGGGTGTTTACTTCCAGCTCTTCCAGCCCTCCAGCCTTCCAGCCTTCCAGCCGTCCAGCCCTCCAGCCTTCCAGCCCTCCAGCCGTCCAGCCTTCCAGCCCTCCAGCCTACCAGCCTTCCAGCCCTCCAGCCTTCCAGCCCTCCAGCCCTCCAGCCTTCCCAGCCTCCAGCCTTCCAGCCTTCCAGCCTTCCAGCCTTCCAGCCTTCCAGCCTTCCTTGCAGCCTTCCAGCCCTCCAGCCTTCCAGCCTTCCAGCCTTCCAGGCTCCCCAATCTTCCAGCCTCCCAGCCCTCCTGCCTTCCAGCCTTCCAGCCCTCCAGCCCTCCAGCCTTCCAGCCTTCCAGCCTTCCAGCCTTCCAGCCTTCCAGCCTTCCAGCCTTCCAGCCTTCCAGCCCTCCAGCCCTCCAGGCTTCCAGCCTTCCAGCCGTCCAGCCCCTCCAGCCTTCCAGCCCTCCAGCCTTCCATCCAGCCTTCCAGCCTTCCAGCCTTGCAGCCTTCCAGCCCTCCAGCTCCAGCCCTGAAGGCTGGAGGGCTGGAGGGCTGGAAGGTGGAAGGTTGGAAGGCTGGAGGGGCTGGAACGCTGGAGGGGCTGAAAGGCTGGAAGGCTGGAGGGCTGGAAGGCTGGAAGGGGGAAAGGCTGGAAGGCTGGCGGGGCTGGAAGGCTGGATGGAGGCGCTGAAAGGCTGGAAGGCTGGAAGGCTGGAGGGTTGGAAGGCTGGAAGGATGGAAGGCTGGAAGGCTGGAAAGCTGGAAGGCTGGAAGGCTGGAAGGCTGGAGGGCTGGAGGGCTGGAAGGTTGGAAGGCTGGAAGGCTGGAAGGCTGGAGGGCTGGAGGGGCTGAAAGGCTGGAAGGCTTGAAGGCTGGAGGGGCTGGAAGGCTGGAGGGCTGGCGGGCTAGAAGGTTGGAAGGTTGGAAGGCTGGCGGGGCTGGAAGGCTGGATGGAGGCGCTGGAAGGCTGGAGGGGCTGAAACTGGAAGGCTGGAAGGCTGCTGGAAGGCTGGAAGGTTGGAAGGCTGGCTGGATGGCAGGAGGGGTTGGAAGGCTGGAAGGCTGGAGGGCTGAAGGGCTGGGAAGAGGGCTGGAGAGGCGAAGGTTGGAGGACGGAGCCTGCGGGCTGGAGTCTCGTGTTGTTGTCTTTCCGTGTGTTTTAAAATTGGGCGGCCCAGAGACAATGCCCACGGAAGTAGTATGACACACCTGTTTAACTTGTTTAGATGTCCGGGTATCTAAAAATCATCGCCGTATATATATATATATATATGATATGTATATATAGAAGCTACAGTATGTATCTATTCTATCAATCTGTCTGTCTGTCCGCCTGTCTGTCTGTCTGTTTGTCTATTTTTTGTCCATCCGTCTTGGGGCGCGTCCTTGTGTCCCGTCGTTGTTGCATCCTTAAACAGACTATTGCACAAGTCCCGTACTCCAATGCATACTATGTATGCATGCAGGTATGGGTAAGACTTCCGTCAGGATCAGCATCTCCAAGCAGGACTCTGTCTTTTGGTCCTCCTGTGGCGCGGCCTTCAGCAAGGCCTGGAGCCTGGAGGCCTCCAGGTGGCTCGGAATGCTCAAACAATCTCGGACCACTCGAAGTCTCACAAAATCCTCAAGCCTCATCGCACCTAAGGCAGGCGCCGGGAAACGTCCAGCTTGTTTACCGAGATCGACAAACAGCCGCATGTGTGGACCCGATGACTGGCAAAATGGAGGACTGTGCGCTGGAGACAGATGTGGACACCTCGCTCAACATAGAAGCATGCACGAAGGGTTCACATTTCATCCATTTTGTTGCCCCGGAAGAGATCCTGGCAAGCTTGGGCATCCGCTCGTGCCCATCCTGGGCCAGCTAGCCAACGCGTCCCTAACCTAAAGCTCACCCAGCGGCAGCTCGTGTGTGCCACTGTTTGATGCTGACAGCTGCAAAGTGCCAGTCTGCTTTGCCGCTTCGCTTAGCACGTCTAAGGAAGCGCACACCAAGCAGGTTTTCTCCTTGGATTACCTTGCTCCCCTTGCAGCGAGATGGACCCACATGGCCTCCGGACAGAATCTGCCGTTCGGCTCGTAAGGCGTATGTCGACATTCGCTCGGTGTGTTATGTGACTTCAAAGGCAGCCTGGGGCTTGTGTGCGAGCTCAAGACAGGCCGGCAATGGGACAGGCTGCCTTTGGGTTCATGTCAGAGTGCGCCGCGTTGTGTTAGAGGTATCTGCCGTACCTCAAAGTCAACCAGCCCCTCGTGTCCTGCGCAGCTGGGCAGGCACCCGGCAGGGCCGCATCCCAGCTACATGCCGACATGTAGATACCCACTAACGTATCGTCTAATCATACAAACAACTTGACAAGCTTTTGCGTAACATTAGGGACAATGAACAGGCAGTCTGAACACTTTGGACATGCTGTCAACCCCTCTGGCAAACGTGGTTTGCGGACACCAATATGTCACCACTGCGGATGATCCAGAGTATGTGTCTAGCCTTTAGCGTTGGGCGAATCGGTGTATCCAGATGTGCTGAAGCGGAATGAGGGCAACCGTTTGCGCCCGCCTGTCTTGATAGGTGCTGAGCTCCTTCTCCTTCAAGCAAGATAGCTCCTGCAACGGTGTTGACTATTTCCGATCCTTGGCTTTCAACAGACTTCCAGAGTTCGAATCTTGATATTTTGACGGCAGCAGAAGGCATGCCGATTTCCAGAACTGACCGGATAGCCTTGCAAGCTTTCTCACGCCCCCCTTCCCCCCACTCCCCGGCCCCCCCAGCCCACGCCAGGCTACTTCTACAGTTGCACAACCATCGTTCCGGTGAAGGGTGCCTCGATGTGCACCCCGTGCCTTATCTTCAAGGTCCACTCCGATAGTAAAGGCTTCTTTGCCTTGTTTAGGAAGCGTAGCACTAAGCATCTGTTTCAGATTTTTTTGCACATCGTTGGACTCGGCCCAAGCTCCCAGGAAGACGACACGCTGCGTCGCTCACAGTGGCAGCCATCCACACTTGTGGGAGCTGGACAGGCAGAGCGTGGCAGAGCGGCGGAGTCATAGTCATAGCTAGCCTCATGAACCCAAACGGGCAGTGAACTATAACTGTCCCTTGAAAGAGGTTGTGAGAATGCGCGCATTTGAAGCGTGAGCAGGCACGACGTGGGATCGCAGTGCGAAGCTGGAACGTTGTTGACGAAGTTCGAGTACAAGAGCTGCACCGGGGACGATGGTGTCTCGTTCGCACAGCACTTGTGGGAAGAGTGGGTGCGTGCATAGGTTTTGCAGCCCCGTGCAAGTGGACGGCCATCGTTCGTGCCTTGCGTGATCTTGCGTGCCGCAGTATCCGAATGCAGTTTCGAGGTGGAGCGATTAGTGGTATGAGCATGCGCCTTCCATCACCATCACCGTGCTTTCAGTTTTTTGCTTCCATTTGTGTCCCAGGCGCTGGCTATCATTATGCATACACATGCTGTCCGGTTCAAGGTGCCGGACCCAGTCTGTGCTGTGTTTATGATGGACATGTCACTTCGTGATGATCGGCCGAACCTTTGAGCGGGTTGCCTTGCGTCATATATTTGCAAAGTGGCTGTTGCAATGCCGAGGTTTGGGTGAATGCTCCGAAGAAACAACGGAATGGGGAGAGGTCACGCGCTTACGCCTTTGATCGCCTTTGATCCACTCGACTGCTACAGGGTCTTCCTTTTGCGAATGCCCAGCATGCCCCTCTTGGATGGTTTACTTGCTCTGCCCTGCTTTCTCGACATCCTTCGCTCCCAAACACACAACACGCCCTAAAGTCGTCGCCCCTTCCATACCTTTCCTCCCCCTGTGCGGATCGGGCTTGTGTCGGATGCCGAGACTCGCCATGGCTTCCGTTTCTTCTATCTCTACTTTTTTCCCGCCGCGATTCCACATGCCGCCTCATGGCACGCCACGCCTCCCTGTCGGAAGGGCGAGCCAGGGTGCCGGGCATGTAGACATTCAGAAGCTCCAGGATTTTCGAAGGAAACCTGCAGTTTGTGTCTCAGGTTGGCCAGAAGAGCGACCTGGCAGCCTTGGCACACCACCGACCTCAGTGCCCTCGAGTCCTTTGACGCGAAGTTAGTAACTACTGAGGCAACTTTCAAGAGTTCTTTGTTCATGGCAAGCGCCGTATGTTGAGGACAGCGGTTTGCAGCGCTTCCTCCTGGAGTCCAAAGTTCCGGAGGTTGCTCAAGGTGCAACTCTCCAAGGAGAGGTCAGGTGCCGGGTCCGCATCCCAGAAGCCCTACAAGCCTTCGCAAGCCTGTTTATGTTTTTCGTTTGCCGCGATTCTTCCACTGCCTAACCCCTCAGGTACACCTTTGTCTGCTGCATGCTGCCAATGGCACCGCCCGTCAGTGTCAAGACGGGGCCATTGGATGCAGGCGGCGCGTGGGAAGGCGGACCATTTTTTGAACTTATTGTGGCATTAACCATAACTGCTAAAGTCTTTTGTTTTGCATGCCCAGGCACATATTGTCCAGCAGGGCGTAGCGAAGGTCGGGCCACTCTTATGCGAGGAAAGGCTTCTTCGCCCTATTTCTCCAAGAGAGCCCTGGCCCTGCTTAGACGTGACAAGACAATCAAGACACTTCAGATTGCAATTTTTTCCAGGTCAAGCAATTCAATTCGCCTAGTGAATTTTTTGGCATAGCAAGTGACTGCGTGAGTCTTTGTTTGAGTTTGGGGTTCAAGCTTCTGAACCTGAAGAGCTTCGCGTGCCGAGTCGTGGTTAAGCCGTGCTCTATTACATCAAGTCAGTGAGTATGCACCTTCCCGTGGAAATGCCGCACCCCAAGGAGATGATGTGTCATGTGGCTATCACAAGGACAAGCTAGCCAAAATTGTGGATGGCGGGGCTTACATGCCCAGCACCAGGTGGGTCAGTTCTGACAGCGAGGAGCCACTTCCCACACTGCTATATGTTGCAAGGGCGGGCGCTCTGAGCACGTGCGGCCCCGTCTGCGCCGCGGAACCGAGCTGCGATGGCTTCATTTGGACCGCGGCACTGAGTTGCGCTAATCCTTGAACACGAGTGAACGGTCAGATTTCTGTCAATTTTCGAGCATGAGCAGGATCGATGGGATTTGTGGTTTCCGCATGGACACATCACACAATGCCACTGGGCTTGCAAGATTTGTGGCTCCCGGTTAAGTTCGAAAGTCGTTTTGCGCAGGTGGCCTCCGATGCTCGTGCCGACTGCTACAGCAAGGTGCCGGAGTCGGACGCACCGTGGCTGGAATGGGACACAGCAGCTCTGGAAGTGGTGTTCCTGTGCGTTGCGCTCCGATCAATGCCATCAGCTGTTCGTGCACGATGTGCTGCCACGGTCAATGTTGGGGCTGGAGTTTCAACACTTTCAATCCGCTCACAGACTTTTCCAGCTCAGGCCATGAAGATAAAGTATGACCGTCTTGCTGGCCATTGGTGCATGATTTCTCACATTCAGCAGCCCCTCTGCTCCTTTGACAGCACCAACATGTAGATGTATGCACAACGCGGTTCTCAGGGCCTTGAGTCGCAAGATGTTTTTGCAGTGGCGGGCTCAACAATCGTGGGGTGTGCGCAGCCGTTGAGGTACCACCGCCGATGTATCGCATCCACTTCAGCTCCCTCCGGGAGGAGAAGGTAATATCGACTACTCCCCAGCCCCTGTGCTGAAGTCAAACCAATCAAAAGACTGAGTGTAAGCATGTAGCCGAGTCGGAATGCTCCCAGGTGTTGCCAATGGACACAGAGTTTGAGGGCAATGGGGCCGTGGAAGTGGCACACGATTCGATGGCCCAAAGCCTCCTAGGACGGCTGCCGCCGTTCACACAAGCGAGTTGCGTGTCGGTGCAATTTGTTTAAACTCGGCAGATGAAACGCGGTTGCACGCAGAGAGTCTTCCTTTCCGGTGTTAGACTTCGTCACTCGACGGTCTGCTCAGTCCAGTCAAGTTGTGATGTTGGGGAGCGCCACATGTTTTCGGCGAAACGACGCTGCAAACTACTGCATGCGCAGCCATGCGCTGACCTGAGACTTGGTCACCGAGGCATGGTGTTTGAATGCAATGATATGCCGGGGGGTTCCGTGACACAACCATGAGGCATCACTGCACGCGCGAACCTGTATGCCTGGTCTGGCGCCAGTTTTGCCTGCATGTGCTGAGTGTAGCTGTGTTGCAACTTGCATGATCTCTGCGAGAGGCGTGTCTGGAGGCAATTTCTTCCTGTTTGGTTTTGATTCGGGCTTCTGCTTAATACACGGAACGAGACACGAGACAGCTGCCAGCAATGTTGTCAGGAGGTTGTCTTCCGTCTCCGATGCGCCGGGTGCCGGCAAACCCAAGAAAGTCACACCAACGAAAGCTCCCACAACTCGGCACGTGTTCTACCTTCTACTCCGTTGCCAGTTTTCGCTGCCGCAGCGCTGCACAGTTCGCGACACGTTTCCTGCACACATGCAGTCGGTGCGGCCTCCAAGAGTAATGTATTGATTTCTCTGGTTCCACATCGTGGCGCAGGAACTTCGAATTCTGCAATGAGCCGAGCCGGGACTGGCGGCGGGCTGGGAAACAAGAAGTTCAAGAGTTTCGCCTGAAGGTGCAGACGTAAGCACATGCAATCTGGCATTTGGTGTTCATGTAGGAATGAGGCTCCACACTGTTGTGCTAAGGAAGTTGCCCAAGATCCCAAAAGCCAAGTTCAACATGGCAAAGCTCCAATTCTTGCAAAGAGAGGGAACGCAATCAGTTCGGCCGGGCTGTGTTCGCCGGTGGACATGTCACAAACTGTGAGAAGGTGGGCTGCAGGCGAGTTTAGAAGTCGAGGATGCATCTTACTTTGCTTGCCGAATGCAGCGTGGCTGTCCCTGCACACTGTTGTACTTGTTTTCATTCTATGCGCAGCAGGATGCAGAAGCAGCTGGTTGCTGCTGCTTCCGTGTCCAAGGTTCGAGATGGCGGAGTTCCAGCCTTTCGAAGGCGAGCGCCAAGAGCTTCAACAGCGTGGGGTAACGGAAGCCGCCGCTTGGCTCCAATCGAGCCGCCCAACATAGACTAACTGATGTCCCACCAAGAGCAGCCAGCTGCGACACTGCCTAACCAAATGTCCAGCCAAGACTTGTCCAAAATGGTCTTTGGTGCTGTATGGGCAGTAAGGTTGCCCCAAACAGAGCAGCCTTTTATGAACTTTTCAAAAGAATTAGGAGGACGGGTTTGCACTGGCAAGATGGTTTAATTATGCAAGTGGCGAGGTGCATTGGCACGGAAAAAGTGGGACAGCCGTGACCCGTGCGTCTGGATGCGGATGCCTGAAATTTTGTCAGAACTAAGGTGCTGAACTGGAACCCGGAGCCCATCGTGCCTTTTGGACTCGAGCGGTTAGGCCACGGAGGGCCCGAAGGTTGCCTGGTCGTCTGAGGTATGCTCCGCACTGCCTGGCCCGGGAGAGCCGCGAGAAGATCACGGGCGCTGAGCCTGTCGAGGGTGACCACTACCTCAGCGTCGAGGTCACATGCCACGGATAGGAGCATCAAGCAATGGAGTCGCAAAGGCTTGTGGTCTAGACACTGCAAGTGAAGCTGCTGCCAAGGAGAGGCAAAAGGATGCGGTGGGTGCCTGCTACCACGCTTTGGGCGCAGATTCCAGCGGGGCAGCGGCTGTGGAGACCTGGGGAGAAGAGGGCACGCCAGGGAAGAAGAACACGGATTGGCAAGAGCCGTACTTTGCTGCCAATCCGACTTTCCCTGGCCTCACGGCCGATGCGGTCTGGGACTGCTCCACGCGCGACATCAATCGTGGATACAAGCTGGCCATGTGGGACCCGAGAGGGAAGAGCCGAGCTTCAGAGGGCCGCTAGGGCCGCTAGGGCTGGGCGCCGGGCTGGGGGCCGCTAGGCTTCAAAGAGAAGCGGCGTAAGCGTGTCCTTTGAGCAGGATCGCGAAGCAGACTTTGCATCCAGCACCATCGAGGCCGGCGGCGCGTCTTTGTGTGCTTTCGGACAGAAGAGTGAGATCTGACAGAATCCCTTTTTTTTTTGTTGCCTTTTGGCGCCCTCCTGAAAGGACTTCTCTGAGCCCGTCGTGACGAAGGCGTGCAAGAACATTCCTGGGACGGTGATGCTGGCTGGTGCCATTGCGGCTTACGCAGGAACAGACATGGACACCGGAGACATGTGTGCTGCCGTCGCCGGTGCAGTCTCTGCAGGATCCCTGTGGGCCATTGCCCAGACGCAGTACTACAGGGCACTGAGGTATGACGAAAGCGACTTCCAAGATTGCAATCCTTTGCAGAACACAATGGCGAAGGTTTACTGCGACCTCTCCTGCGTGGAGGACGCCGTCAAGCGAGGTGACCAGAGAATCCTGAGCTCCATTGGTACCTTGAACAGAAACATCCTTTCGGAGATGAGGGAGTTCTTCCAGCACTACGTCTCAGAGATCTTCACGCGCTTAACCCACATGGAAGACAAGCAAAGCCACGAGAGTTCGCAGCTGAAGGACGTCATGGATACCTACGCCCAAGCCGACCTCGACGCCGTGAATTCCAATGGAAAGCAGATCATCGATGCCATGAACTCCCAGCACAGCGCCTTGAACAAGAATCTGGGCATAGCTGCCAAGCAGATCTTCGATCTCACCCACGAGGACTGATCTGCAGTCAGCCGCTCTAACCACTGAGCTATGTACCCAGGAGACTGTTTGTGATCTGTTTGTGTTTACAGTCAGTTGACCCAAACCAAGCACAGAGAGAGAGAGAGAGAGAGAGAGAGAGAGACAGACATGTGCACACACGAGGGGATGTTTCTGGTTACCGAGCTGTAAACCTCTGGATAGCTGCCATAGGGGCGCGGGGAAGAGGCGGGTTGGGGTTGTCTTAGTGTAAGGGGTCGGGGGTTGCAGCTCGAGAATCTGGAACATACTCGGTAGTAAGTGCAACGGTCAGTGGCGCCCCAAAGCCGTCCACTTAAACCCACAGGGGGTGGACGGGCGGGCTGAAAGCCTGAGGGTCACGACGTGACCCCTAAGCCCGGCAGAAAGAAAGAAAGAGACAGACATGACCACAGTCAACCAGCCTGTCTCCACAGCAAGCAGGGGGTCCGGGGGCGAAGAGTTCAGTTTACAAGCACGTTTGATGTTGACCTGCTACTTTTGCGAAAGCCCACCCAGACTCCAGTAGCCAACAAACACTACAGGTACAGTACCGTAACCAAAATCCGGCGAAAGAGAAAACGTCCTTTACCCAGCAAGTTGTCTGCACAGTGCACCCCCAAAGCTTCCCAAATGATAGTATATGTGGCACAGGATGCAGCTGTTGTTGTATAGAGGGGGAAGCAAACGCCGGCCATAGGTCCTACTGGGGGTTATCTGCCTGTCGAGGGTCTAAGGAAAAGCTGTAGAGAGCGCGGCGATGAGGCCGGGAAGCGCGCTAGAGTACAGGGTTGGGGGTAACCGACAGGCAGACGCTTCCATTCGAACCGACCGTTGGGGAAAAAATCCCGAGCAAAACGGCCCCAAAGCCTCTTTCCCACCAAACAATGGGGGAAAGGGGGCGCCTAGGCGCGTGCTTCAGCCGAAGCCTGACCCCTGTGAAGCGAAGCGAAGCGAAGACAGACAGACACAGACACAGACACAGACACAGACACAGACACGGACACAGACACAACCGCATTTAGCGACAGTCGCCAATGCTGCTGCCACTCTCGCAACTGGGCTTCAATGCTTCAGACCAGAAACGGGCGGCTGACGATTGTCAGTGGCGGGCTTCACCCAGCCGCTACTGGCATACATATAGTCACAAAAGAACCAACGGCTCCTAGGGTCCTTCCGCTCAGCGACTTGAACATTCATCTGTGCAGGAGCACAAAGTCCTCGCTCAAAAGATGGAGCCTTGTTGGCAGTCGTCAACTCTTCTCTCTTTCCACGAACAGTAGCCGGGTCGGTACATGTGGTAATGTGGGCTGGGCATTTCGTTGGAATTCATCTGAGGATGCACATCTGGCTGCGACTTCTGATGCCATTGACAACTTGACGCTGGACTGAACCACAAGATACCATAAGTGGCTCGCTGTCGCCTTTTGAACAGCAAAAAACAACTTCGCTCATGCTTTTTCAACAGTTTATCTTGACCTTGGGCAGAGCTTTGCTTGTCTGACGAGGAAAACTTTGTAATTTGCGTAATGCGCGTACATGCAAGAGCTTGAAGTCTGCCTGCAGAAAGCTTGTGGCGGCGAACTCGGTCCGCAGGCCGGCGATCGGCCTGCTTTGATCGGCACTGATGCTGAGGAAGGAGTCAACGGCGCAAGGCTTCCATGACGCGTTCAACGAATTCACCGAAGCCCTGGCATCGGAAGACACTGGACGTTCTTACAGTGCTTTGAGTGTGCAGGTCCTTGCATTGTGTCGGACCCGACACAAAACTAAGGAGGGTGCGGCGCTCACACAGTTGAGACAGACCCACACGGCTGCCAAGCAAGCTTTGGAAGAGAGTCTTCTCAGCACTAGCGTAGTCTGTGGCTTGCCTTGGCATCTCGCATCTAGAGGATATCAGCCTGGAATGTGGACGGGGCCATGTACCGCCTCGGTTCTGCCAAGCTGGACACTGCCGTTGCACCGCGTATCCGTTGATTTGGAGGGAGCTAGGTGCTAAGGCTGCTACGTGAATATACGAGTCCTGGTAGACATCATGTATTGCAGGAAAACGCGGGGCCCACAAGAGGAGGTTGCTAGTTTTTGGAGAGGATGTAACGTAAACGACAAGGGGCCATGCGTCATGCCCATCCATGCCCATTGACATCAGCCTCGAGCCAGTCAGAGTCAGAGTTGTGTTTGCTGCTGTATCTCACAAACTGTGACTTTTCGGTTGCATGTCTTTGAAGGGTTTGGCAGCGCATATCGTCCGAAGCGGAGGCGAAAGCGGAGTTTGCGGCAGGATGACAAATCTAGAGAGGAACAGCGACATGTTTGAGCCCGAACTTGTGCAATTGAGTGAGCACGGCACCTGTGGCATACGCCAGAAATCGAGGAAGCTACTAGTAGGCACAATAACCGCTGTGGCAGTAGTTGAAGTAAACTGTCTCGAGATGACGGGCCTATCATGAGTGCCAGAAAGGACGAGGTAACGTCCGAAGTTGGGCCCGGGGGTATACGTGCACATGTCTAGATGTTTTAGCGTACCTGTAGTGAGTCTAGTGCTAGGGGCTCACGATTTGAGGTTTGGGTTCCGATTCGATGACCAAGTGCAGCCTTATGCGGGTTTGAATGAGAAATGAAGCTCGACTTGAAACTAACATAGGCATAGAGATGGCGCAGTGTTTGTCGTCAAAAACCTTGTGGGCAGTTTCCAACTCCCCTCTAAACAGGCTAAGGTGGAGTATGGAAACTGGATGTCAATTGTTAACTTGCTCTACTCGGCAGACCTGCACACTCCACACGCTTTCAGATGTTTCAGGAGCAAGTTGAGCAGGCCCTTCTCGCCATGCGCAACCAGCTTACACATGCATCTTGGTTGCAAGACTAGGCCGCAAGAGCATGTACCCGTATCACACAGTGGGCGCCATGTATGGACGAAGCAACACCTTGGTCAGCTGCCGTTTCACACTGCCCACCTTGTGACTGCGTCACCCTGTGCAGTGCATTTGGATGCATTCAGACGTTGTGGGTGGTGTGTGAGTGGTTCAGCGTCTCCCAGCAAAGCACCTTTGTTTTTGGCTGGCTCAACATCAGCTCCATCAGCTCAGCACACTGCAACAACAGGTGCATAGGATCCAGGGCTTAAGCCCAAACCCCGTCCCCGCCACCCCACGGCATCGCGCCCCCCCCCCCCCCCCCCCCCCCCCCCCGAGTTGGGTTCGTGGTCTCTCGACTTCGTTGTGCCTGTGGTATTCCCGGCTGGTTGTGGCAGGAAGGAACATCGGCCCTCTCTCCAAGATCTCCAAGCTCAAGTCGACCTATTGCATTTGCTCCCATACCGCAGCTACTGGTAGAAGCCTACAGAGGTACGGTTGCGGCTATTTGTCAGTAATTGGTTAGTATTGCGATCCTTGTTTCGATTGTTACTATACAGAGGTTGTGATGCTATGGTCTGCCTTCACTCTGGTGGGCTTCTCCTTAGAACAGCAGAAGCACTGGCTGATTGGCAGCCGTAGCCTCCTTCCGCCCTGTGGGTTCTGTTCCGCAGCCTGCCTCCACGAAAACGAACGCAACCATGCAAATCACGACTACGTGCCAGCTACTGCCATCTTGGAGATGCGAAGTTGCCCTGCATGTTGACAACTTGCGAGAATAACCAGAAACGTGAGACCTACGGATCACAGTGTTGTCGCAGACAGCCCTGGGAGGGAGGGGCGGGGCAGGGGGGATGTCATGGGGGATCATATTGGATGCATGTCACAACCTTTGCTTTTCAGCAGGCTCGTTCGCGGCAAGCTGGAAGGGAAGCGTCGTCCAATGCCACAGTGCGGACGCTTGCAATGCACAAGAGTGCAATGCATCGCCAGCGGGACTCACCAGCTGTCTCGAGCTGAGGTCCGAGAGGCTCCGGGAGGGCGCGGCGCTTCACCGCGACACGGCGGCCATTGCCAGATCGCTGCTGGGCTGGAAGGCCCGGGATAGGATGCGGAACTCGCGAGTCGCGAGCGCATGAGCATGTTTGCTTTCAGGCGAACGTGCCCGATACGGAGCCTGCTCTCATGGACTTGGAGATGAAGAAGCTTCTGAAGGCGGCGCAGACGTCGTGCCGTGGCGATGTGGACGTTATCAGCAAGTCGTGTTTCGGCCGCCATGAGATTGCTTAGGATCCGAAGTCACCGCCATTCTGCTCGACACATGAGTCGCCACATCGCGTTCTTAAGAGGCGAGTCCGAGGCTGGATTTCTTTTGACACGTGCTGGTACATGGCGGAGGGAAGCCCCTCCATGCAAGGCCGCCAGGCTTGACCAGTTCCACATGGAATCCCAGGTTGTGGAGTTCGACAAGACCCTTAGCCAGCACGAAAGCAGGTCACCCGTGGTTCAGTGCAGTCATGTGCTATGATTTTGTACTGGGCTGACAGTGGATATGATGCGATTAGCGTGCTGGTACTGCACGCCATGCATATCTTCGACGGATACGCGCAAGACCGCCAATTTGAGACGGACTCTTGCTGTTGTCGTGTTGTTCAGGCGGGCCTTAATGTCTGGGAGCATGGACAGGTCCCGACTGCCGAGGTGCATGTCGTGAGTCCCATCATGTCCCATCTCCTCATGTTGCTCACAAGGTGGCAACACGTTGTCCACCGGTAGCTTCAGCAGAGCTCTGCTTAAGCTTCGCCGAGACTTTCTGGGCGTTCAGCGTCTCAATGATGGACGTTCAGCGGCTCAATGATCTTGCATCCGGCTTGTGACACCGACTTCACCTTACATCATCCATCATGTCTCAGTCGTCCAATACACAGCTATTTGCGGCAGCTTTGGCGATTGACTCGAGGATTTCACTGGTTCTCTGCTCCCACCCGATGTTGGCATGCAGCTTACTTGCATTTTCTCTGAGTTGTTTCTGCAATGAAGGTATGGGCGGGTCCACCGTGTGATCCTGCCACGTATTCCTTACGGCCCTCAACTCTTTCCTCTGTGTGAAGATTGATCTCTTCCATTGCCACAACATCCGATGGCGTTTCGGCACTGTTGTCCACCAGGCCAAGCTGCCTTTCTAGCTTGGGAGGCCGCCGCGAGTTTTGCAAGTTTTTCGCGCTTGGGATCATGCCCTGTGCTTTTGATTTGCCACTGTCTCGTATCCTGAATCCTTCTCGTTTCCCTTTTCCGTTCTCCTTAATGTTTTGCTACCTTTCACCCCCGCGATCGCACGACTGGCAGAAAAAGGGTGTCAGGTCAAGGATGGAGCAGGACTCACGTTCTATCTACTGACTACTGTAAGCTCGTCGGCGGCCTTGTTTTTGTGAAAGGCCGCGCCTAGGAGCCAACAGTGCGCATGACGAGTACATGTCCCAAAGACCAAGGTGCAAGTGTATTCATCATTCTCAAATTCAAAGTATCTTAGAGTCTTAGAGTGTTCTTCAATGAGCTCTGCCGAGCTTTTTCTCTGCCCAGGATCCTCCTGAAGATCCGCCAGGCCGCGGAGGAGTACATGGAAGCCGCGCAGGAGCCACTTGGCCGATGAAAAAAGTGCCCTTCCTGCGGCGGGCTTGGCACGTGCACGGCCTCTTCCCCCTTGGTGCAGAGGGCAAGTCCTGTCTTGTCCCTTCAGGCAAGTGGACCATGTGAGCACTGCGACGGAGCTGACTGAAGACTACTTGTCCAAGTGCAGTGCTGTTCCTTGGCACAGGCTAGATGCCGATGCAAAGACCTAGAACTAGAACGCACAGCCAATGCACAAGCCAGCAGCATCGGAGCCTGAGTGCCGTGACTCTCAGGATTTCTTGCAGGTGCAGGTTGCGGCAAAGCGCGCCATGCATTCGGGCCAGCGAGCGGCGACAGCAGCACGCCGAGCGTTGATGCTCGGCACTACAGAGTCGTTCTTTCGTCGTTTTCTAATGTTTGAAAGACGCTGAGAAGCTGCAGTGCGACGAAGTGCGCAGCAGTGCTCAGCTGAGGCGGGACGTCTGCCAGCAGGTGGGGCTCCTGGCGGAGGTGCTGGTGGACGGCGGCCTGGCCCCTTGGCATCGCCCCGTCTAACGAGCTTGGATGCTTTCAGTTCGTGTCACGCCCGCCGTCTTCTCTTTCAGGTCCGCTCGGCACTGCAAGCAGCAGCGGCAGCTGCGACTGCTGCCTCCGATGAAGCCAAGCCGCTTCGATTCGTCTCGGAGTCCGCGGAGAACTTGGACGGGGTGCCCTTGAATCTCGAAGTATGTCTCGTCTGGACCAGTTCTGCCGAAGTTCAAGCTGTCTGTCCCGGTCTCTCCTCGGATCTGATTTAGAAACCAGAGAATCTCGGGTCTACAGAAGGATGCCCATCAGGAAAGACCTATGTGGAACTTATACCTCTGGCCCCTGAGCTTTGGATTTCCGGGCTTGGCTTTGGCTTGTCGGCTGGTTGGCTCAGAAGGCTTCCAGGCTTGTGCATGCAAGTTGTCGTGGATGAAGCTGATTGAGAACTTGTTCTATGGGCTTTGCTTCCGTGAATCGGCCGGGGAAGACTTCGGCCGACTGCTCGGGTTTTAGGCTCCCGGCAGCCAGGCCCCAGGCCGATCCCATGCTGTTAGAGGTGCCTGACAAACCAGTGCAGCACGCGCATGACTCCAAGCTCGTGCTCCAGCAGCTCCACGCCACTATTTCTCGGACGGCACGGAAGCGCGGGACAAGGAAGGCATCTACGGTATCTGCGCTGCTCCAGATGCCCGAGCTCTTCCACATCCTGCACCTGAGCATGTTGTCACAGCTGTCCGAGTGGATGCCGCCAGTGCTGCCGAAAGCCCAGGCTGAGTCGTTTGCCGAAGCCTTGTACCGGCTTGACATGTTCTGACCGTATGTTGCCCTTTCAAACTAGAATTTGAACTCACCCTCTTCTTGACCAGGCGGCCTTCAAACTGGCGCGTCACCTGCGCCATCGACACGACATGCATGGCTTGTCTCGCAATGGTGGCGAGGATGCACGGCTTATGCACTCAGCCTGGCGGCGTCTCGATGCTGAACTTCAAGCTCCCAGCCAGCGCTTGGAATCGCTTTTCGAGAGTCCAAGTTTCGACTCCAGTCCTTGGACGCCTTTGACTCCTGCTCTGTTCTGAGGAGATGGCTGGAGAAAGCCGTGTGCGTCACACTGCGCTGGGTGCTTTGTTTGCCCAGCAAATGGATGAAGTGCTGGCTTCAGCAGCACCAGTACCGGAAAACTGCACTGTGAGCGGCCAGGACCCCGGCGCATACAACAACTTGCAGCGACTAGGGAAGCATCGGTTTCGAGAGTACCACTCAGGCCGTAGGCATGAGTCTGTTCATTGAGCATGGGGAACCAAAGGTGCAGCAAATATTTCTAAGCGGACTCTGCTACAAAGCTGAAGGTTTCACGGGCACGCGAAATTCTGTCACATACCTCATATCCCTCTTTCGAGGAGGGCTGGATGCTGTGGGCTGCCATGCCTTCGGACACAACTGCGTCTCTGCTGTGTTTAGCTGAGTCGAGCCCTTCCGACGGGCTTCTTCGGCTCGTGACGCAAGAGCACCGTCCTGTCCTTTTCACGCAAGCATCCCGCGAGAGCACTCCTGAAACAGTTGCTGGTTGCGACAAGTGGATCAGGTTGTTCGTCGCAGGCTGGGCAAGGAGGATGAACGATGTTTTGATTGTTGCTGTAGAGTATCTTCAATGCACGAGTTCTGGGTGCGCATCGGGCAGTCGGATTTGTCCACGAACCAGATACGGCCTCGATCAAGACTGATCCAACAATGCATGTGGGCATGACTGTGTATGCTCTCAACGATTTGTACAAAACATATTACAGTACGGCGCTGCAGCCTTGAAACTTGTTCTGAAGCCACCTCAATTAAGTCGGAATCGTTTTGTGGCATGCTGGCTGGCTCGTCTTGATGATGCGATTCGGCTCGTATCCAAAATTGAGGCCTTCGTCATTGTCAAAGGCGCGGCCAATCTCGTTCAGCACGCCCGAGGCCACGCCTTGCAACGTGAAGCATCATAGAGAATCCTACCCGAATTTCTGCACGGCTCTAGCCGCTAGACTCGGCTAGACAAGGCATTTAATTTACTTGTGAAAACACCCGCAAACTGAACAGGCATGCTCTGTATTTCTGAGATGAGCTCGTGAGTGAGAACCCTGCATGTGCTAGCGATGGTGAAGCCAGAAAGGCAATGTAGCGACCAACGTCGATCGGCAATTTTTGCCTGATAGGGGCTTGGGGGGTTTGGGTGGGAGCGAGGACGTCATCACCGGAGATTGGATTTTGCCGCCATCTCCAATAGCTCCACGGATGCAGGCAGCGGAAGCGAGCGAAAATGCGGCCTTACCACGATTTTTTTGCGCTTGAGCTCCTGCAAGGCAGCTTTGAAGCGATGGTTTGCAACTCGCAGACCGGATCCGCCACAGCCTCAAGCTAGTGTAGGCTTTTTTTGAGACTTCAGCCTTGAGCCTGCGTGGCCGGGGCTATCACTTCTTGAGCTTCGATGGAGCACACTGGGAGCATTGGGCGTATCAGTGTCAGAGGTCTAGCAGCACGGAGCAGAGAGCAGTCGCTGCTTGCTCCTGGAGACGGGGCGGAATGACAGATTTTCTCCGAGGCGCGTGCTTTGCAGATGGGCGAGGTGGCCACCTGGCTTTGCACCGAAGCAGACAGCCTCGTTGACCATGCGACCCTGCCAACTCTGCGCCATGGGTGGCTGTTGTGCCTTAGGTGGCTTGCTTCTCAAATCAAACGCACGAGTCGCACGAGCTGCTTGGCAAAGCCGCATATGGAAAATGCATTGTGCCTGTCATCTTGAGCAGCTACATGGCATGGGCATGATGCACAGGACGAACCCGAGCAGAAACAGCTTTGCACAGGTCTGGCTGCAATGTGGTGCTTGATCTGCCGGTGGTTTCACGGGCTGCTTGAGCGGCGTTTTAGGCTTGGGTCCACATGACGGCCGGGCCTCGAAAGATCTCCTGAGCAGCGGTTCGGCCGAGCTGGCAAAAGCAATGAGGGTCGAATGTCTTTTGCATGCCAATGGTGAAGCCATTGCATAAGAACATTAACGAACCGTTGCGAATGGTCTAAATACTTTCATGTGCAGTTGTAGAGGGGAATGCAAAAAGGGGTCCTGTTGTCGGGGGTAGCAGCGACAGGAAGGCATCCCAACGGCTTACGATCAGGGCTCGCCCTCACATCGAGGATGCTTGTAGAGCATACTCGAGAAGCCATCCCGAAAGCGGGTTTTTGCTTCCACAGTTACATGTATCCGCGAAATCGAAGCCGTTCGGTTTTCTTTTTGTATGCCATTGCTGCAGCCGAATGTTCTGTATTATGGCAGGCTCAAGTAGACACTAGACTTGCTCGGTGAATCGCATATGCATTCAAATTAAATGCGCCAAGGTGCCATGCAGGACCCAGCCAAAGCCCCGTTAGGCAGCCAGTCCAGAAGCGTTGACCCTAGAGGCGTACTTGCAAGCGTGGCTTGTTGTTGCTTCTTGTATCTTGTGGCCGTGATGGCTCGGCGAGTGGAGCGGCTGATGCTTTCCACGCCACTGGTGCCGAGAAGCTTGGCAAAAATCCGAGTGGTGTGCTTCCAGGAGAACAAAGTGGCCATGGACTGGATGAGCCGCTTTCTGCCGATGCTGCGCTTTGCGAGCCCAGACCTGGGATTCGACTTCAAGCGGCTGAAGCGAGCCGCTCGCAGGCCGGAGGCCGAGGCTTCGGCCGAGGCCGAGGAGAGCTCCCAGGAGGTCTCGCAGGAGCAGAGCTCACCAGAACCGCAAGTGGTTCCAGAGCCAGAAGCAGCAGAAGCAGCAGAAGCAGAAGCAGAGCAACGGAAAGAGCTGGCCGTCGAGGCTGAAGCGAGAGAGTGCATCGAGATGCAGTTCGCAGACGGGAGTTCCCAGCGCTTGAACCTGCAGCTCTACGTGTCCTCACATCAACTGATGCAGCGCATCTTGGACATTGATGCCGACAAGGCTGCGAATGCTTGAAACACGGCATACAAAAAGGAGCTAGAAAGCGTAAGGAACACTCTGGGGTTCGCTGTAGTGGTGAACGAAGGGCAAGTGCTGCAGAATTGCGAGTCAAGTCCCGTTATGGGCCGGAGAAGTTTAGCAATGTTGCAAGCATTGTGTCCTCATGATGGAACCCACACAGCTCGCAGGTGTGGGGATTGCTTTTAATCTGAGTTTGAAGCCATGTCAGACGACGAGTCCGCCATTGAGAGTGAGGCTGAAGAGCGAACGAACAAGTTCAGTTTCTTCCTTTGGTCCTGAGATCCAGTCGTGAGCAGGAAGATCTCGAAGACCTTTTTCGAAAGCGCAGATGCCCGCCTCCTGCAGCAACGCTTCCAAGGAATGAATCCAATGTCCTGTTGATAGGTACGGACATCCCGTGTTGCTTGCTCTTTGTTCTGGCCCTGATTGCCTTGATCGCCATGCTGGTCTACGGGGCCATGTATGGCAATGCGAGGAAGCTGAATCACGGGTTTGATGGCAGGGGGCCGGAGACCCAGCGACTGGTTGCCATCCCGACGTCTGACAGATTTTCCATGAGTGCTAGGCGCCAGTGTGGTGTGGATCCCGACGTTATCGAAAGGAGCATTGTGCAAGATCTCAAGCCTTCAATTTTGAAGTCTGCGACGGGACGGGATGGGCAGGCCGCTGCTATTCTTCTGTCCTGTGGCTGCGTCCTCAGAGTGAGCATGGGACTGGGAAACTGGCAGCTGGACCGACTTGTCAGGTGACATCTTCGGGAGACCGGACCTCAGCCCAGCCTACCTCGGCCTGGCAACGAATCGTTGTTGCCTGAGACGTGACGTGAGAACATCCATCGGAGGAGCATTCCGTGAACCTGGACGACCCGGTCTGTGTCTCCCAGTGCCCAAGGCCAGTGTCTACATGTCTGTCTCTGTGTGTGTGTGTCTGTGTGTGTGTGTGGGGGGACTTCCGTGACGGCAGCAAGGAAGAGTTCCGTCACAGCAGCAAAACGGGCTTGCACACTGGCGTGGGCCAACGAAGCTCCAGAGTGGATATGAGGATGGCCATCTTCATATCCCTCCTTTTTCAGTTTGGACATGCTACATCCTTACGCTGTGCATGGTTCGAACTCGCTGTCAACTTCACGGCTACTCTTGGCGTGAGAGTTTCTTTACGATTTGATAAGCCACCCGTCCACTCTCGAGCTGATGTATCGCGCCGATTCATCAGTAAGGAAACCGAACCCTTTGAATACATCACGTATTTTGAGTTGAGTCTCGGACTGACGCTTGAGCGAAACATCACGCAAAGCATGAAGCTCCTAGATTCCGAGTTTTGCGCGTGAGCGCGCATGTGTGTGCGTGTGGTGGCCAGTGCATGTGCATGATCGTGCATGCGGGTGTGTGCTTTCGGGCCGCTCTGTCCGACATCCGAGTCCCGGAGCCTACGTGGCGGCGGCCAACGCCGGCTGCGCCCTTCCGGAGGCTATGAGGCGCACCTGAGTAGCTCGAGACGAAAGTACGTATTTTCTCGCGCAGGCCTACCCGACGACCCAGGTCGGCAGCCGGTACTGCCTTCCTTCCGGGTGGGTTGCTCAGTGCCAGGCTTACTCGACCCATCGTTCCACTTCAGCCTTGTGCTGAAACTGTGAACTGCATAGCATAGCATAGGTTGAAGTTATTGCTCAAGCCCGTCATGCAAAACTTCTTTTCTGAAGCTCCATGGACGTGAAGTCGTTGCAGGTCTACCGAAGCAGTCGCGAGACGAAAGGTGCGCCGCGTGCGTGTTTGGCCGAGGGCCGGCCCGGTCCGATCATCTGTGACGCAGCGACACACCTGCCAGCTGCTAGCCTGCAGGTTGAAAAGGGCATGAGGGACACTGCGTCGGAGGTCTTCACTGTGCTCGATCGCATAGGCGGGGGACCCAGCAGAAACGACAGTGGGAGCACAAGGGCAGAGAGTTAAGGAAAAGCGTGGCCGGTCCTGCTGCTGGCAGTGTTGCTTGCTTGCGCGATGGGGTATCCCGCCAAGCTTCAAACTTGCTTCAAGAAGCTTCTCGGCCGCCAGCTCACTTCAGGTACATTTTCCTTTTCATGTTGAAGACCGTCGCCGGCTGCATCATTTGGTTTTGCGCGCTGGTGCGCCGGGCAGTCTGCATGCAGTCAGATCATGGAATTCTGCCCAGCACAGGTGGGTCTCGCTGCTTTTCTCCTGCTCGGTGCTTTCCTTTGGGCACAATCAGAGGACTGGTCGAGCATGAGGCTGTGGGTCGGGGCATTCTAGTGCTACTCTTCAGGATGCCATGGAGTGGGCGACCACGTACAAGGCCGAAAGCTGAGAAGGTAACATGTAACGTTGCACAGACAGAGTCGGTTCGTTGCTTTGGCTGAGGTGTTGGCCGTGATTTCCTGGGTCGCAAGCGTCCTCGTGGCTCTGCTAATCTGCTGCTGCCGCCAGGAGCTTTGGCGCACGGAAGTTGGAAAATCAGAGTCTATGCGAGAAGCACGCAGGAAGTCAAATTGTCCACCAAGTGCATGGGGCAAGCCGCGGTCGCTTTCGCCTCAGAGCAGAAAGCTGCTGGCCAGCTGTTGCAGCAGTATGGCGGGAGGTTATTTGGCGAATGCCTATTCTCCTGCTCTCTCCGCTCCTGAAGGCATCCCTGCACCCATCGCAGTGTAGATTCTGTTCATCAAGCATTGCAGCTTGTGTCGCTGGGCACATGGCTCGCTCAGCATCGGGGGCGCAGTTTTTTGGTCCAGGTCAGGAGGCGCAGGAGCAGTGGGGCAGTCGGACCATGGTTTCCCGAGCTTGCTCTTGTGAAGGCCATCATCAAGACTGTCCTCTTCCTCCTGCCCCTCTGGCTTTTTAGTTTGCCTGCAGCTAGTGAGCTAGTGCTCGTTTTCTCCGAGCATGCCGAAAAACTGCAGGCTGGCAGTTGGTTTCATCCACCTCCTGGCCACAGGCAGCTTCCACGCGGGCTCTCCCCCCCGAGTCTGCAGCTGGCCATCACAGAAGGACAGAAATGTCTGAGGGGGAGAGAACCGAACAGGTGAAGTTTCTGGTGTCGGCCGCGAGCATCACTTGGATTTTTCGGGTGCTCCTGCCATTGCAGTGCTGCCGGTGAAGTTTGTGCACAGCAAGCAACATTTCACCGTCTGGAACATTTTGCGATGGTCTATGCGCAAGCTAGGTCCGCAAAAAGCCCTGTTGGTCCTGTATGCCTTCATCTCATTCTGGGTGCTGGCATACGTCAGTTGGCGGCCTACTGAAAGCCGGAAAGCAGCCGCCCTTGAGCTCTTGACCAGAGCGCCTCAGCGGAGCGCCACAGCCGCCAGAGCCCCGCGTGAGGCGCTCTGTATCAGTTTAGCATCGCCTTCGCAACGGCAAAGTACTTCTGTGCCAACATTGAGAACGGTCGCAAGGTCGGGTCATGTCCAGACACGCATGGACCATGCAGGCTTTGCAGATTCTGAGATTCTCCTTTCTGTAGGCTGTTGCCGCCTGCAGCGTCTGCGAGGGAGTCCGTGGGCCCCGTACGGAGATTTGGACTGAGCAGGAACAGCAGGTCATGACTTGTGAGGTGTGGGGCTTTGGTATCATTCTGGATCCCTGGCTTTCGGCTCCGCTCTGATCGCGCTCTTGGAGCGGGGTACTCAGATTTTGCGAAGAGTTAAGAGGCTTCATGCGGCGCAGTCCAAAGGCAGCAGTTGCTTCGTCAGGTTGCTGCAACGAATGCTCGAATGGGTGGAGAAGAAGAGCATGGAGGCTCTGCGCGAGCTGCATTTGCCTTTCATAAAGGAAGTGTGAGCACCATGCTGTTGCGAGGGCGGCGAAATGAACAAGGTGATCACCTGTTGCATTTCAACTGTTCTTTGTTGTTGCAGGCCGCCATCTCAGCCGTCCAAGCTGCAAGCTTTGCACAGGTTGTCGCACCCATGTCGCGGCATCTGGTCCTACAGGTGTCTCGAGGGAATCATCCAGTTTGTGAACAAGAACGCATGGAGCCTCAGAACTCGTCGTACGGAGAACGCCGCCGCAAGTACTGTAAGCGGAGAAACAGATGCCAACAACAGCAGCGCGACATGGATTGCACCAAGTTCCTTGACGTCCACCTACACATCGGTTTGCGATCGTAAGGGTTCAACTTGATCAAGGTCTACATCGACATCGCCTTGACCTCTAAGAACTTTTGCGCGGCACTGCCCTGGACCTGGCAAGTGATCCCTTTGGGCAACGTTCGGCTGGGTCAGTCTACGACGGTTCATGACAGCTCAAAGGCAAAGTATTGCCAAGATCATGATCGACCACGGTGCAGCGATGGCTATCCTCAATGGCCACGGACCTTAGATTGTTGAACCTGTCGCCGTCACAGCACACCAGGGCAGAAGGCCCATTGCTCGGTGAGCTCAGGTGCCACGTGCATCTTCCAGGTTGTGGGCATGGATGCGAGCTGAGTCCAAAACACCACAAAAGGCCAACATAGCAAGTTTTTCTTCCGAGGCCGCCATCACCGCATCCTGCGGGCTCATGTCTGCGTGGCTGTCGGAGTCTAAAGATCTCATGCTCTGGAGAGAAGTGCAGCGCCTTTGTTTGTTCAGGCTTTCATCTGAGAAATACGAAAGCGTGACAAGCACCTCATATGCGAGATGCTCAGTTCGACACTGACAGCACCGGCAGCTGGCATTCAGCACGTCTGCTGAGATTCCAAATCCGGGATTTGCCATTGCGCTTTCGGCTATTCTGGCCTTCCTCGTGGTGCTGCGCCCATGCGAGCTGCGTGTGCTGTTGTGAAACCCGACAAGCTCTTTGAGGCTTGGTCCTTCATGGCCATTTTCGACGTGACTTCTGACACACTGCAGCTCTGCAAGCAGAACATTCGGAGGGAGCATTACCGGGATTGAGCGTGTCTCTGTTGGGGTCGGGTGAAGCATTCGGAGAGTGGTGAGAGCTAGAACACACGTCGGCCAAAGGCGCCGATGTCACTGGGTTGCAACAGTGTTCGGGCCCCAAACAATGAGTAAACGAAAGGGAACCCAAAGACCTCGTCTTAGAGTGAGAGCGACGGGATGTGATGATGGCATCTCGGTCTTGTTGCTATGTCGCTACTTTTCTGCCTGTTGCAAAGATTCTGCGCAACTTGTTGATATTTGGACCTGTGCTGCGACGACCTGTCTCCGAGTCTCGTCGTGTGCTCGTGATTTTTTCGCGTAGCTCGCCCTTCTCTTTCGTGTTGGCGAGTCCGCTGAGGCTGATATGTTTCGCCGAAGACATGACGCAAAGCGGTGGTGCAAGGCATGGCAAGAACAACCAGGACACACCGTGGACTCGCACATCGGCTAAGATGCTGCAATACGTTTTTGCCTCGAAGGATTTGAAGGCCATCTACGAGGAAGCAGAGGAACGTGCAAGAGAAATGTCAACACCCCGGCTTGGCCTACCGTAACGAATGGCAATCTCAGATGGAGTCGTGAAACACCTCAGGCAAGGCGACCCAGCCTCCTCCGACGATGGACATCCCCATCCACCGTGCCCTGTAGGCTTCAGCGTCCCGACCATGAGAAGCCTTCCTGCATGCCCCCATGCCGCGGGTGGAAGTTCTCATCCAAGTCGTGAGTGGGCATGCCTGAAGTCTGTGATTATTGTTAGGTACCGCTACGCGCGTGGGAAATGATGGCAATCTTGTTAGGGCCAAAGGCAGAAACTCGTGGAACTGAAAGGGCTTATGATAAGGAAGTGAGTGTTCAGCTCGATTACAGAATTTTTTCTATATCAGCCTTCTGCAGCATCAGTCTGCTCAGGCGACTGCCAATGTTCAAGACAACTGCAAAGGTCAGATGTCTCCCTGTAGGTCCTCCCACAGCCGCCACGTGCTGGGCACCCGAGAAGACAGCGCCAGCTTGGTTAGTTCTTTCACAGAGACCGGTGCCCCTGAAACAACTCGTGTCACTGCCATGCGTTTAAAGGCACAGACAGGCTCCAGCAGTCATTCAAGAACACGCTTCCTCGCTGGCTACAGTACGACCTTTTTCTTAGCACGGATCGCGCAGCTTGTTTAGCCCAGTTGAAGATCCTAGCAGATTCACAGAGGGTGCTTTCAGAGAAGCTGCCAGCGGCGATGTTGCGGTGCAGAGCTCGGACCGGTAAGGTGCGACCGGCTCAGGGGGCTCGGTTACATCATACGACGCTATACTATATACATCTATATACTAATAATATGAAATTCGCATGCCAGGCCTTGAATATGCTTGGCCTAGCGGCGCACATTGGTACTGCAAATGCTGCAAGGCAATTGTTCTGATCCTGGTGTCAGTTCGCAGTGCTAGCCAACGCTCCGAAGACTGGTTGCAAAGGAACACGTTTGCCGCACGCTTGTCCTCCCTCAAACTGTGAAGCTAAATGCTTTACATGGGTTGTGGAAAGCATACAGACACATGATCCAAATATCGGATCATGCTGCCAGGACTGGCTGCGGCATGGTTGGGGCTAGCTGGGGGTCGGCGTGGCCTGTGCTTTGTAGTCTTACCGACTGAGGGTGTGCTTTTCTGCTCTGTCTTTCGCCTTGGAGAAGCCCGAGTTTGGCCCTTGAGGTCTTTGGTTCATGCGAGTTGCCAGGAACCGCTTCGTGTTTCCTGCACCCGATCCGTCTTATGGGCCGCAGTCCTATCGAAGGCCCCGATTTCCGGCGTTCCACGTGTTTCCTTTCCAGTGCTCGAAAAACCTCGCGCTGGCTAGGCACCTGTGCTGGATCCCATGGAACCCAGTCCTCTCTCCCGAGAAGGCCTTTTGGACAGGGCCACCAGTCAGCGAAGCCACAACTGCTTGGCGCCGAGGCACGGGACACCAGCTTGCAGGACCTTGGAACCTTGCAGACGCCCTTACAAGACCTTGGAAGTTGCGAGATTTGCGAGATTTGCGAGTTGCGAGCGCAGGATGGCATCCCGTGCTTGCCGGCTCCTCAACTTCGTGACACCAAGGCAGCCGGACGCTGGCAGTTCAGGTGGTTTCCGGCGCCGAAAGCAGCTACCGTCATTCTCTTCTTCCACGCCAATGCGGAGGCGATCCCGGGTCGTAGACTACTCTCCGACTCTCCTTGGATGGACCGTCTGCAAAGCGCTTTGTTGGGAACGCAGGACTTGGGAATGTCGTTCGCCATCCTGAAACACATGCGAGATCAGTTCAAGGCTGCTTCGACATGAAGCTGTGTTGTGTGTTGGAGTTGCATGAGAGCCGAGCGCAGCGGGAGGTGAACGTACTTGCAGCAGAGTATCCAGGCAAGCCTAGACCTGCCGTCTGAGAGTTCAAGCATCTCGGTTTGGCATTCAAACGGCTTCAGGCATTTCGTTCGCTCGTTCACTGCGTACGAAGCCCCTTCAGCCTGCAGCGGTTTCACTTTTGCACGTGCATGGACCAGGGCAAGCAAGCGAAACAGTGGCTTGGCTTGGCCCATACCGAACCCAACCTGAGAGGCAACCTGAAGATTCAAAAGCCTCCGAATAACCAACTCTTTGTATACTTACCCAGCCAATCACCGCTATGTACGACAAACCCGAGACACAAGACCGGAGTAGTCACTGCCTTGGCTCCCGGCAGGATATGGGCTCCTGCATCACGTTGAACCGTCCGAGGTGCCTTTGGCGAGATCTCATGGTATCCAACATGACATGCCTGCTTGCACCTAGGATGGTGTCTGCGAAGTGGCACTGACCACCTTTCGTTTTCTCGTCTTGTCCTTGGCCGGAACGAATTGAATCATGTCTTCCAGCAACGTTGCCTTGTTGATTGCGTCCCAAAGACGTGGCTGTTGAGAAGCCTGGGAGTGCAGCAGCGAAAAGGGTGGACCCGTCTTTGTGGTCTTATGCAGATCAAGAAGGCAGGCACATTGGATCATGTACCGGCATGAGGGCACCACGAACAGGCAAAGGATTAGAAATACTGGCGCCAGATCCAAGACCAACCCTACGCAATCAGCCAGCACAGCAGCTTGCCCCACACAACAAGCAGCAAATTGCAAAATCTGCAGAACTGTTCTTCTTTTTAAAATCGGAGCTTTCCAGCTAATCATTTTCTTCGGCCCAGGATCTCCTACTAGCGACTCCCTTCGGGGTCTTTGGTTCGATCACTGTTTCGTTTTTTGGATCCTCGTTTTCGCGAGCCAGGTGCAGATTCTGCTGTGTTTCTTTTGAGGATTTAGGTTTTGATCTGCTATCCATCAAGCATTGATGTCCACCTGTACTCCGAATAATTCCGAAACAGCTCCAGATGTTGAGAGGTGTCAGTCGGAAAACTCGTGCAGGCTCAGCTCAGCTAGCATTCGGTGTCTGTGTCGGGGCAGAGCTAGTTGAGCAGCCCTAACGCAACGATCAACGACGACGATTTTGACGCCGCCAGGGCGGGAAGCAAAGGCTCCAAGCCAAGCAGATCCCCGTCGCTTCCGAGCGGACCCGACGTTGGAAGGCGTCTCATTCCGAACCGCCGTGCCGAAACCATCCGAGGCGCCCAACCCGAAAGGAGTGTGAAGACTTACAATGTAAGCCCTGGACGGATGCAAGGTTGAAGAAGCCTCGCAGCAGTGTGGGACTGGAGTGGTTGCGCAATGATCGGGGTGGTCGGGACACTCGGAAGAGCTGAGACGGCGGGCATGGTCCGCCAAAGGGCTGGAGTAGAGCCACTCCCCACAACGTCCTCGTGCAGAGCACAGGGGGGGGGGGGGGGGGGGAAGACCCGGGGGGCAGTTGCAGCCGCCGCCGCTCCGCGGCCGGCTCCGTGTGTCTTCAGAGGTGGACGTCCTCGGCGTCCGCTATTCGCAGCACCGGGCCTGGCCGCCGTCAGCTGTGCTGTGCTTTGCAAACGGCAGCACTTTTGCGTCTGCACGGCGTTGCGTTGCTCCAAGGATCGTCTTGTTCGGCAGGTCTCTTGGCAGCGGTGCCGAGCTGAGCCTGCGAAAGACCGGCAGAGTTCTTGTTACCACATCTGTCAGGAACTTTCCAGCTTTGACAAAGTAGATCTTCCAGCCCATTTCCACACGCACCAATCAAACGGCACCCCACATTTCGCATTTTCACTCGCCGCCTGGGCCCAAAACGAACTGAGCACCTCAACTCCAAGAGGGTGCTTGAGCTGAGCACGGTTTATCTCCTGACGTGGGCAACGTGAACATGGTGCTGGGTGATGCATTTTTTGTTCAGCCGAATGCCTTGCGAGCTTTCGGAGTTATTTCAACGAGGGCTGTTGATTAGACTTGTTTCTGACTACCACCACTACCACCACTGCCACCACTAGCACCACTAGCACCACTAGCACCACTAGCACCACTGGCACCACTCGCGCCACCAGCGACACCAGCGCTACCAGCACCACCAGCACCACCAGCACCACCCGCGCCACCAGCACCACGACCACCACCACCCCACCACCAGCACCAGCACCAGCAGCAGCAGCACCTCCACCGCTCGCTTCAGGACCAGCGGTCTTCCTCGCATCTCAGTTTCCGGTTGGAGGCCATGAGACCGTCCGTTGCTCATCGTGTGCTGTGCGTGGCCTCACAAGAAGAAGGCCTGATCCTGGTGTCCGCCTTTTCATCCATCCGAGCCGCAGCAGCTTGGACTTGGACTTTGGTGTAATGTGGCGAATGATGCAGACATGTTATGCAATGCAGTCTTTCATGGCCCCCAGGGTTTTGAAAACCCTGGTGCTGTGGTGGTGCCACAGTCTGACGTTTCCAGGTACAAAGCATTGCTGGCCGGCTCTTCGCCATGGCGTTCCAAGAGCCGGGAGCTCCCTTGTTCTCCCTTGTTTAGACCACCTAAATGAAGAGAAAGCAAGCACGCCGATCGCGCCGAGACGCTTTCCCAACCACAAAACCATCTCCAATGTGTCAGTATCTCAGTGGTCCATCAAGGTGTCGAAAAGCTGCTTCTGTAGAGAAAGGTCCTGCTCGACGCTGTTCATCCATGGGGAGTCCGACGGCGCTTTCCTCGGCCGCAAGACCCACTCTTATCGCAAATGCAACCACGATTTGTGTGCCCGGCTTCGCCCGAAACTTCGTCTCGCCGAACCAGTTCAACATTCCTCTCTGTAGTTTCGGTGCACGTCCTTCTGAGTTTGCAGTGGGTGGCTCTGTTGCCTGCATCCGCACTGTTTTCTGATCTGACGGTTTGTATCTCCCGCGGAAGCGTCTCCAAGCATGCAGCCTGCAGAGCGTGCAGTTCCAAAGTTCTGCCAGCCTGTAGCAACTCATTGTTGCGATTTGTTGCGTAAATCCCGTCAGAGTGAAAGTTCTTCCCTCATGGATTTCCTGCTTTGCAGTCTTGCGCACGCCCATTCGTCCAGAAGTTAACCTCACATCCCGCGTCTGATTTCCAGTATGCTGCAGTATACAGTAGACACATGTATACATTGTATACATCATTGTACACAGCGGCGGGTGAGGGCAATACTGAGGGCCGTGAGGTGTTGGGATCTTGAGGGACGCACTGGAAGCATCAGGAAATCTTGCAGGAGATGCTGAGTCAGCCTTCCAGAAAGTTCTTGTTGCCGGTACTGCTGCTCGCTCGGCCCGGAAGCACACCTCTTCCAGTCCATCCACAGAAGAGCACGCTGCTGTTGCGGTTTTGCAGGCCTCATCCCCGTGGAGCATTCTGTGAATCTTTTCAAACGCTGCCGCCGCCTCAGGGAATGTTTGCGGCAAGCGGAGACAGCGGGTTTCGGGCCTGGGGGCCTGGGCGGGGGGGCAGATGGACCTGGCTAGAGCTAGGCCGCTCGCGGAAGCTGCTGGTGACGCCACCGGAGATGGAGCACAACTCCAACCTTTTCGGCACTGTCCCTGGAAGCCCAAATTGCAGTGCCCAAGCGAGTACGATTGATATCGAGGTGATGCTTCTTTTCTTGCGATTCCTGCCATTCACTTCTTTGGCTTCCCAGGCCCTGCAAGACTACACCCCATTGAGAGCGGCCAGTGCAGTAACGAAGTGCACACTTGCAACAGGCTACTACACCTCCACACCGTGTCGGCCTCAGCTTTTTGCTGTGCTTGAGATCGAGAGCTCCTCTGCGAATTAGCAACGGCTCCCCAAAACTGTTCGCAGATGTCTTGAAGCGAGGCAACATGCAAGGAGGCAGCATTTTTGAGGGAGCAGGAGATTGGGACGGGAGCAAGTAAGGGGCAAGGGATGGCTGCAGAAGGACTTCGGCAGGGAACTGAGCAACGGTATGACGGAAGATGGGCAACCATGTGTATCTTTACAGAAGTAGGATGACAGCAGCTTCAAGGAGCCCCAAACCCCGGGGTTCCTTGAGCCCTCAAAGTCAAAGGAGCCCCAAGCCCTCCGGTTCTTTGCGGATTCCTCAAAGGATCCCTTCAAGGACATAAAGGAGGGAGTAAAGGAGCCTTCGAAGGAGCCCTAGGCCCTTCGGTTTCTTTAACAGGATTCCTCAAAGAAATCCTTAAAGGTGCCCCAAGCCCCGCGGTGGCTTAAAGGATTCCTCAAAGGATTGCTGAAAGGAATCCTTAAAGAAGCCCGTAAAGGAGCCATAAGCCCTATGGTTTCTCAAAAGAATCCAAGGCTTCCGGAAGGGAATCCTTGAAGGAGCCCTTAAAGGAGCCCGAAGCCCTCGGTTGCCTATACAGGATCCTTTAAACAGGAACCCTTAAACAAGCCCGTAAAGGAGCCGCAAGCCCTACGCGTCCTTCAAAGGATTCCTTACAGGATTCAAAGAAACTTTATAGGAGGCCTCACAGGATTCGTTAAAGCAGCCTTGAAAGCAGGCAAAACCAATTTGCAGAAGCCACAAACGGCGGACCAGCAAACAAATTCCAACGATGCTTGCCAGGGTGCGCGGCCCAGAGTGGCTGATTTGTGTTTCCGGCGTTTGCTGACCCCAGCTCTTACTCCGGCAAGGGATAAACATTATTGGGAATTAACGTTCAATATACATCCTCTTGCCTGATATCTGATCGCTTGGGTGAATTTGTTGATCTCACCACAGGCTCCCAAACTTGGCTGACTGACTGCTCTCATCCCTGATCCCTGAACGTCCTAAAGCCATGATCCCTCAAACAGAAGGGCTGCTGAAGTGTTGCGTGAATACACGTCCTGTTAGTGGCATCCGCGTCGAAAGCTTCTGCTAAGTGGAAGCCCATATGGGAAGCCTGAAGTCGTGCTTTGCAACATTTGCAAGGATTTCAAGACTTGTCAACCCGACGGAATGGTTCAGACTGTAAGCCGAGCGCAGGAAAGGGATCGCAACTCTTGCTGCGTCAAGTGGGAGGTCCATTGCACAGGAGGGAGAGTGGGGCCCATAGGGCTTTTCAACCTGAAAAACCACGATTGTGGAGGTTTTAGAAAAAGGAGGGGGGGGCGGGGGAGGCAAGAGGGTCCAATTCTGGGGGTCAGGCCGGAGCGGAGGCGGGGGTCCTGGTGGGAGGGAGGGGATCGTTTGACACTGAGGCCGCGGCTCCCTGCCAGCATGTTCGAGACTCCGGACCGACGTGTCCGCCTGGGGCCAGGAGAGCTCCTTCCGTTCCCAAAGAAGCGAAGGCATGCCCACCAGAACCTCTGAGGCCTCGCGAACCAAGTGCAGGAAGGCACAGTACGGCCCTTCCTGTGCGAGCTGGTCTCAGAGCAGGAGACATGCAAAGGAAGTGTTTCGGAAGCTCAGGCAGATATCATGGACCGTGCGATGTGCATCACTTTGCCCATGCTTGCAGTAGACCAAGCATCGAAAAGAAAGAAATATGACAAAGGCACGATGGCAAACTCACTTGCAAATGGTCTCGCCATCTAGTTTCCGATCAGGTCTGAGCGCACCTCCCAAAAGTCTGAATTGGCGTCCCACGAGGTATAGTGGTTTCCGCTCCTTGTGGGGGATTATTATTGCTGAGTAAGGTTTGGCGGAGCTCTGGTGATGCCCGGCTGGAAATCCTCATGCATACATCTTCTCCTGCTCGTCTCTGCAGTCCCTGGTGCGTTGACACGATCCTCTTCTGCAAGTGTGTCACACCGTAGGATCCTGTCTTCAGATGCGTGCATCGGAGAGATTTTGCATGGTCCAGGTATCTGCTTTCCTTTACCCATCGAGTTACCTGCCCTTCTTCCGACGTCCTGCTACTGCACAATTAAAGCGGAATGTGGAATTTAGATGGCTTGCAATCGACGTCAAGACTCATTTTATCCACCATTAGCAGAGTGCAGGCGGTTGTACAAGATGCGAGGGCCCAGCCGCTTACTCATTGCAAGTTCAACAGCCGGCAGTTTTGGAGCCATCGTCATCAGAGATCATCGGTTTGCAGGAAGGTCTAGAAGCCTGCATCTGAACGGTTAGCCATGTTAGAGTACATCATGCCGTGGGCATACGACCTGCGGTGCACTTCGGCGTGAAAAGGCAACAGGCAGCCCCAGGCAGGCCCAGGCAGGCCATGGCATTGGGCCATGCCCCCCGGAACTCGGGCCTGCACCCATTTCGAAGTTTCAGCCCTTGAGTGCTGTCCCGGCCCTGCCTTAGACTCCACGGTAGCCACGAAAAGCTGCAAAGGTTGGGCTAAACTGTCAGACTATGCAAGCCCAGCAGCCTGAAAGGGTTTTGAAGAGGCAGCGGCGGCCGGAGAAGCCCGACAAAGGGTGTGACGGCAGACAGATCGTAAACCATGAAGGAATGCCATCCCGCAGCAAAAGACACCGAACCAACACCACTGTAGAACTTGAAGGTGGGATGGCAAAGGCCGAAGGATTGAAAGCACCACGACCCCAACACGCCCGGATGGTGGGCCACACCAACTGAAGTGTACCCGCTTCATCCACGTTGTTCCCCAGCTCTCAAGCATCATGAACAACGTCGGTTCTCGAGTTTGCGCTGCTGCGGTTTGCATTCTTTTGATTTTGCTTTGCAGGGTTTGCCTCTTGTTGGGCATGGGGCTTGCGGTGGCCGGGAAGCCTCCAACCAACCAGGCAGAAGGGATGGCAGGCAAATCCCACTGATGGATAGCGAAGGGTAAACAAGAAGACGCGCGGCAGCTGGCAAATGTCAAACTTTGCTCGAATCTTCACCTGCATTGTCGACCCGGCCCCAGTGCAGGAAAAGAGACCACGACCGTTGACAAGGCGGTAACGAGCAAAAACACACACACACACAGAGACAAGGCTACGAAGCTAAAGCAGCAATCGCTGCACAAGCAGAGGTTGTAAGCCCTTGCGGTGTTTTGAGCCTGAGGCAAACATGTAGAAGGATGCAAGCCCTTCACATGGTTCGGGTCCGTGCAAGGAAAAACAAGCAGGAACCCGCCGCAGAACCCATCCCGAAAGCCTCGGACTCTGCACAGTTCTCTCTGTGGAGAACGATGGATGCTCTTTTTGAGCTCCCATCAACGATTGAACCCAAAGCACGAAAAGCAAACCGGATCGCATGAAATCACGGCTGGCAACACCGAGAACTGGAAAGAGGGTCCCACGTGGCAAACCTGAAAATCCAACACCAGGGCTCTGACGTTGTTGTTGCATTCCGCCCATGCTTTGGGAATCCAGTGCTTGAGTTTCCCGATTCGAGATGAAGAGATCTATGCTTTTTTAATCCTTTTTTCCACCCAGATTCCTGTCTCGACCATCACCCACTCTTGCTGTCGTGCCCCAGACAAACAGAGAGGGCAGTCTCGGTATGTTGATGCTTCCGTAGCATTCCAGTCCATGGCGCGGACAGTGTTGGCTCAGACTTTCTTAGCAAACTGTCACCGACTTCTGATTTCCTGCCGAGGATTGCTTGGCCAAGAGAGTCAGGGCCCATGAGCAACTGACTGCGTGCTGACAAGCGCTTCAGAGGCAGTGAAATGTTTCTACAGCCAAGGATCAAAACACCTTGGATGCAGGGTTGTGAGCTTGGAAGCACGTTCCAGTGCAGGGGATTTGACGTCGGATCCGTCGGCCGGCAGAGGTTCGCGAGACAAGCTGATGGGGTAGACAACATTACTATCTGCTTGTACAAGGCCGGAGGGCAAGAACTGTAAACGCTTCGGGTCCAGTACCAGGTTGAGAGCGAACTACGGGGGAACAAGAAGAGGGGAAAGAGATTGTTTGAAGTGGGAAGAGGGAGCCTGTGACCGCTTCGGCCGGGCCGAGGCGAATCTAGTTACAGTTGGAGCATGGTAGTATGATGTAATGATGTAGTATGCTGCGCACGTGGGGGGCACTGTGCTAAAAGATGCAAGGCGTGCTCTAGACTCTAGCGAATCTTAGCGGAAGCCACGAAGTGCATGACTCAATGACTGGCCCAGCAAGCACTAGTCGCTTTTTGCGGTGCTCACGGCCCAGACGGCAGAATCAGAAGCACCGCCATGGGAGCATATGGGAAGCTCCTGATTCCGACGTGACGCGAGGATACCAGCGACGAGGTCGAGCTGGTGGGGGAGGAAGCCAAGGAGCGCCCGGATCTCAGATCGAAGCACCGCGCTATGCCGATTCCTCGAAGAGGGGTGTGTGTTTGTGTGTCTCGTTTCTCTGCAGAAGAAACTCGAACAGACAGATGCACGCACGCAGACGCACGATGACGCACGAAGAAGCAAGCAGACGCAAAAGTACAAGCCTCGAAGTGCAGTGTAATGCGAGTCCTGCCCGAGCATTACTGGCATGCCATGATATGCGATGATGATGCGGGGTAGCTTGGGGGTATTCTGCCGGGACCGGGTGAACATGCAAAGGTGCAATGGTATCTTTTTCGCTTGCCGAGCGGGCGACGTTGCTGCTCTGTGCGTAAATCATGTTTCATGTTCGGCGCTTGCGCATGTGTTGCAAACTCAGTCGCTGATGCCCAGCTTGAAATGCCGGTTTGATGCTCAGGGTTCAAACGCAGGTAGGCAGGCCAGCGCACTTCACAGTCCTGGCATCCTAGCTTTGGCCATGGCCGCATCCTGGGTCCGCGCTATCGGCGATGCAGTTCTGGAGCAAAGCCAGCTGCAAGTGCAGAAGTCAGGCGCGTCATTGAATCCACACTTTGAAAGCAGTGAGCTCCGAACTGCAGCACCAAAGCCCCGAGGTATGGACCCCAAGTTTGTGCGGGCCGCCCTGTTTCGTTTGAAGGGCAACCCCAAAGGACTCTCGGATTAATTTCAGTGCCAAGCGCTCGCTTGACTTGAAGTTGCGGCAGGGTGCCTTGAGCTCCGAGGTGATGTCAGGGTCACCGTGACGTTCCGGCCCAAGACGGCCGAGGTCCTGGCGGTCGCCTGTTGGAAGGACAGCGCGAGCAGTCGGCAGCAACAACAACAACAACAACAACAACAGTAGCAGCAACCACAACCACAACAACAACAGCAACAGCAACAGCAACAGCAGCAGCCAGCAGCAAGCAGCAAGCAGCAAGCAGCAAGCAGCAAGCAGCAAGCAGCAAGCAGCAGGCAGCAGGCAGCAGGCAGCAGGCAGCAGGCAGCAGGCAGCAGGCAGCAGGCAGCAGCAGGCAGCAGCAGGCAGCAGCAGGCAGCAGCAGGCAGCAGCAGGCAGCAGCAGGCGGGCGCAGCAGGCAGCAGCAGGCGGGCGCAGCAGGCAGGCGCAGCAGGCAGGCGCAGCAGGCAGGCGCAGCAGGCAGGCGCAGCAGGCAGGCGCAGCAGGCAGGCGCAGCAGGCAGGCGCAGCAGGCAGGCGCAGCAGGCAGGCGCAGCCGCAGGCGCAGCAGGCAGGCGCAGCAGGCAGGCGGGCAGGCGCAGGCAGGCAGGCAGCGCAGCAGCAGGCGCAGCAGGCAGGCGCAGCAGGCGGCGCAGCAGGCAGGCGCAGCAGGCAGGCGCAGCAGGCAGGCGGCAGCAGGCAGGCGGCAGGCAGCAGCAGGCAGGCGGCGCAGGCGGCAGCAGGCGGCAGCAGCAGGCGGCAGCAGCGGCAGCAGCAGGCGGCTGCAGGCGCAGCAGCAGCAGCAGGCGGCAGCAAACGGCAGCGGCAGCAGCAGCAGGCGGCAGCAGCAGGCGGCAGCAGGCGGCAGCAGGCGCAGCAGCAGCAGCAGCAGGCGGCAGCAGCAAGGCGGCAGCAAGGCGGCAGCAAGGCGGCAGCAAGGCGGCAGCAGGCGGCAGCAGGCGGCAGCAGGCGGCAGCAGGCGACAGCAACAGGCGACAGCAGGCGGCAGCAGCAGGCGGCAGCAGCAGGCGGCAGCAGGCGGCAGCAGGCAGCAGCAGGCGGCAGCAAACGGCAGCGCGGCAGCAGGCGGCAGCAGGCGGCAGCAAACGGCAGCAGGCGGCAGCAGGCGGCAGCAGGCGGCAGCAGGCGGCAGCAGGCGGCAGCAGGCGGCAGCAGGCGGCAGAAGGCTGCAGCAGGCGGCTGGCGGTGCCGGCTGCTGGCTGCTGGCTGCTGGCTGCTGGCTGCTGGCTGCTGGCGTGTGGCTGCTGGCTGCTGGCTGCCAGCTGCCCGCAGCCAGAGCAGCCAGCAGCCAGCAGCCAGCAGGAGCCAGCAGCCGCAGCCAGCAGGAGCCAGCCAGCAGGAGCCAGCAGGAGCCAGCAGGAGCCAGCAGGAGCCAGCAGGCAGCAGGAGCCAGCAGGAAGCAGGAGCCAGCAGGACGCAGCAGGAGCCAGCAGGAGGCAGCAGGAGCAGGAGCCAGCAGGAGCCAGGAGCAGGAGCCAGGCAGCAGGAGGGCAGGAGGCAGCAGGAGGCAGCATGGGAGGCAGCAGGCAGCAGGAGGCAGGAGGCAGCACAGCAGGAGGCAGCAGGCAGCAGGAGGCAGCAGGCAGCAGCAGGCAGCAGGCAGCAGCAGGCAGCAGGCAGCAGCAGGCAGCAGGCAGCAGGCAGCAGGCAGCAGGCAGCAGGCAGCAGGCAGCAGGCAGCAGGCAGCAGGCAGCAGGCAGCAGGCAGCAGGCAGCAGGCAGCAGGCAGCAGGCAGCAGGCAGCAGGCAGCAGGCAGCAGGCAGCAGCAGCAGCAGCAGCAATAGCCAAAACAATAGCCACACCCGCAACAACAACCACCACAACAACAACATCAACACCGACATTAAAATTATCATCAACTTGAAAGAACAGTAATATCACAACAGCAACAATAACAACACGCAGCAGCAACAACAACAACGCCAACGACAACAACGACAACACCAACTACAACTAGAGCAACAACTACACCACCAGCAGCAACAACAACAAGAACAACCAACAGCAGCAGCAACAACAACGACATAACGCCAACGTCTGCTTGAAATAACGACAATGACAACAGCAACAACAACAGCAACAGAAACACAGCGACAGCAGCGGCAACAGCAGCAGCAACAACAACAACAACAACAACAATAACGACGACTGAGCACTACAGCCACACCAGCACCAGCACCAGCACCACCACCAACAACAACAGCAGCAACAGCAACAACAGCAACAACAACAGTAAATATGACAACAACTGCAACTGCGACTACAGCCACAACTGCAACTACAACTGCAACTACAGCCACAACTGCAACTACAACTGCAACTACACCACCGCCACCAGCAGCAACGACAACAACAAACGACAACAACGTCAACAGCAGCAGCAGCAGCAGCAACAACAGCAGAAACAGCGACAGCAGCAGCAGCAGCAGCAGCAGCAGCAGCAGCAACAGCAAGAGCAACATCTACAACTACAACTACAACAACACTAGCAGCAACAACAGCACCAACAACAGCAACCACCACCACCACCACCAGCACCACCACCACCAGCACCATCACCACCGAACAACAACGACAATACCACCTGCAACTAGAGCTCCAACTACACTACCACCAGCAACCACATGGGCAACCAACAGCAGCAGCAACAACAACAACAACAGCAGCAACAACAACCGCAACAATAACCACAACCACACCACGATCAACAGTAACAATAATGGCAGCCACAGCAACCTCGACAGAAACAGCCAAAATCAGACCACAACCGCCCGCGACCACGCATCATGCACGTTACATATAGGACCTCGGCCGGGACGTCAAGCTGGAAATGGCGGTGGGCAATGAGAAAAGGTATGCCCGAGACACTTGCTGTTTGAGGCTCAAGCCGGGTCTCGCTGCATCAGGGCCTTGATGAGATCAGCGCACCGAGAGCTGCAACGTGACGGAGCCTTTCAACTTTATCGCTGACGACAGACACTTTGAGAAATGCAGTTCGACGTCAATAATATTGTAGTCTCGTCCAATCTTCATAGAAGGGGTCATGATACATCAGCAGGCTCACAGGGGCCTGCTGGGATAGTTTTCCCTCTTTCACCCCAGTCGCTAAAGGCTTGACAGCAGAGTTGGAGCTGGGCCAGTTTCAAAGAATGCGCGTAACATGCCTGTTGGTTCGGTGGCAGGCTGCAGACGTGCCAAAGGCCAGTGATGTGCAGGACTCCCTGGATAGATTGGGGGCGCGCAGGAGTTAGAGCTCTGCTGCTCCGGAGTAAGCTGCAAAGGGTGGACTTCAGCTCCTGCAAAAGCACTGGGAGAGCATTCACAAGTACATGCACAATCGGACATCCGTCACCCAGAAGAACTTGGAAAGTTTAGCTGGGCAACAAAACACCTGCACAGTCAATGGAGCCAGGCATCACGGTGCCTACCCCGTTTGGCAATCTAAACAAGGTCTTGAAGGGCAGAGAGCTGGGCTGGACTAGCTAGATGCTCAATTCCCGGCTCGTGCGGACTCCATACCCCAAGCAGTCCAACATGAACGAACAAGGGCAAATTTTGGGTTTATCTTGCGCAGGCCTTCCATATCTCCAGCTTTTTAACACTTTCTGCGCAATATGATTTCTGCGCAGTTGCGATTGCAGGAGCCCACGCCGTGTGCTTTCAATGGCAAAGAAGGCCTCTCCCAATTAGCTTTACTCCTTGGGGTGCTCAAGTTGAATGTGCAGAGCCCAGCAGGGGCACGGAGAGTCATTGCGCCAGGAGTTGAGAAGCCCCAGGATGTGGTTCCTGTGGTGACGGAGGTGCGCAATGAGACATAGAACATAAGTAGACCTGACGTTACTGCAGAAGAGTGACAGAGCTCCAGCACCTGCGAGGCACCCCGGCCCAGTTCTTGGTGCACGGATGAGGCCGGTAATGAGCTTTCAGGTGTGTTTGCTGGCGCCTGATCTTTGGCAGGAGTACCAGCTGCTCATTTCCATGGGTTGGACTCCGGAGGATGAGGATGAGGATCTGGAGCGCAGGGAACCGACGGCGGAGCATGTGGAGCTGTCACCTGATAGGCGATGCCAGTTGCATGGCTGTTGGCTTGGTGTTGCGAGTTGCAACAGGCCGTGGCGCTTCCTCTGTCGTCTCTGTCGCTGTCGGCCCAGGTCTGCAGCAAGCCTACCTGTACGCGATTTTCGGTTTCATTTTTTCTTCAAAATATGTTTTCGCTCGGGTTTTGGACACGCCTGCGTGCAAAAAACTGTTTTGACAGCAGCGAAAAATGGCTCTTGAAAAATGATGTTTTTTTTGGCGCCGTGCGAT